AATGTTCCTTAAATATCTTATATTAATATTTAGATGTATAGTTTTCTCCTATATTAACTATGATCTTCACACCAATTACGGGATAATTCATTTTCAACCATCTTTAATATATTTATTTGGCAATAGTTTCGAATTTCTGGCTTGATTATAAAGCTAATCTTTTTTTCAACGCTAACCTAACTCTAAGAAAATATTATCTATATAAATAAGTTTCTGCTACCAGAAAATTGTAACATAAACACATATTTTACATTTTAACACGATAAGAAATAAGAAATCATTGGCTCTTTATTTGTTTATTCTAGATATTTGCAATTCTACAAAACTGCATGAAAGGTCCAAGTTAAAATCATGTATTTATGATTATGCGGTGTACCGCGGGTCAATCCCCAAACTTTAAAAATGATTCATAGTATAATATTTATACATGTATATATGTCACATATTGTTCTAAAATTAACAATCCAACTAAAATCATATAATTTAAATAATTTTAAACATATTCGAAACCAACACAAAAAATACAATCTAAAAATGATAGAATTTAATTAATAATCAAAATAAAGTAAAGCAAACACAAATAAATTATCTCGCAACATACAAAAGATTAAAAATCCGGTAATTTTCCCCCGCGCTGTAGCGCGGGTCCGAATCTAGTTAGTAAGTAAAGCTAGTGACCATTGAAAAGATAGTCTGATATATAAACTTTATCAAAAGATCATCCAGGATTAATATTGGTTAAGTTTAATTATATATTTTATACATCAATTTATTTCACTAAATTTTACGTTCGAATTAATTCATTAAATTTTACGTTCAAAATAATTTATCAAAATTTATGACTGTTTGATCTATATCGATTTACATGACCGGGTTATCTAGATCAATATAACCGGATAAAATTAACCGCAATATTAACTATAAAAATTCCCATTATTTATTTCCATATATCGGACTGGATATATTACTTCAATTTTATCTTCTTTTTTATATAAAATAAAATATATAAGAATTTAAATAAAAGATGAAATATATAATAGGATGAGATATTAATGGATATAGAGAAATAAGAGAAGAAGCACCACTTGATCACTTAGAGCCCACGTTCCCACTCTTAATCACCCAAAAATTAAAACAAAGACGTGCTCACATCTCATCTCACTCCCTCACCAGCTCACTTCACTCTTCTCTTTCTCTTTTTTTTTTTTATAATCACCTCTCTCAATCATCATTTTGATCAAAAGATCATCACACCACCATATGGCTCTCGACACTCTCAATTCTCCCACCTCCACCACCACCACAGCACCACCTCCCCCTCCGCCTTTCCTCCGCTGCCTCGACCAAACCGAGCCAGAGAATCTTGAATCATGGACCAAAAGAAAACGCACGAAACGTCACCGTATAGATCAACCTAACCCTCCTTCCGAAGAAGAGTACCTCGCTCTCTGCCTCCTCATGCTCGCTCGTGGCTCCTCCGATCATCATCACTCTCCTCCTCCACCGTCCGATCATCAAAAAGATTACAAGTGCTCCGTCTGCGGCAAATCTTTCCCGTCGTACCAAGCGTTAGGCGGACACAAGACCAGTCATCGGAAACCGGTTAGTAATAATAATAACAACAACAACAACGACGACGGTGAAAACACTAACGGCTCCGTTACTAATAACGGAAATATTAATATTAGTAGTAACGGTTTAGTTGGTCAAAGTGGGAAGACTCATAACTGCTCTATATGTTTTAAGTCGTTCCCGTCTGGTCAAGCATTGGGTGGTCACAAGAGGTGTCACTACGACGGTGGTGTTGGTAACACTAGTAACATGATCACTAGCCACGGGTTTGACCTAAACTTACCGGCTGATCAAGTTACCGATGAGACCATTGGGAAAAGTCAACTCTCCGACCAAGAAACAAAGTCGGTGTTGTGATTATTATTATTATTATTACCGATCGGGCTTAGCTAGCTAGTGATCGATCATTAGCTGAGTCTTGTGTAATGAAAATGATTGGAGTGGACTTTTTGATTATTTTAAATTTCTGTGTTTACGTATACGGAAAGATTAAAAATCTTCAAATTTTTATTCGTTGTTGTTTATAAAAACAAATGTTAAAAAGAAAACGAGGAAAAAATACATTTTGGATTTATTCTTAATTTTGTTTAGATAAGAGAGAATAATAAAAAATTACAATTTCATGGAAATTTCCTTTTCTTTGTATGAGTTTTTTTTTTCATTTACTACTTCCGCAAGCAAAGGAACCACTTCTGTGGAATCTGTCACTCCACAGCTTGAAGTGATCTGTTCCTAAGGATTTAACAATTAGATTAAACATGTTACAATATTTACAAAATAATGAATTTATTACTATTTTAAAACATAATTTGATTAGGAGAAAATAGTATTAATATTGGGTTATGTTAAGTGGTATTAAATTATTGAAGTAGTGATAGATCGGTTAGTAGTACCTAACGAAAGCTAATCCTTAAGTGTCTTGTCGTCTTTGATTACTATTATCTTTTGATTGGTTGGCACTCACACACTTCCCTCAACGCTTAAATTATCTATAAATCTGTATTATTTCATTTTCTAGAGTTGTTTTCACGAGTCTTTTAATATATTTATGATAATTTTGTTCCGATGAAACAAAAAAATATCTTACACGTCCCAATCGATTCCAGTTCTTTATGTGTCTTCTAAGGAAAAGAGTAGTTATATGCATTTCAAAGAAAATGTGGATATTGAGTATTCTCTAAATTAAGTGCCACTATATACACATACAATTCATTTTTGTTGTGACACCTACTAAAATTGACGTTTGTTAGATGTTTCTTTAGAATTGTATTTTGTTGACTTAATGGGTTAAAAATTACAAGTTTTTAACTCATAGAAAGACTAAAAAAGAGAATGATAGTTCTAAAATAACGAGGCGAAATTTTCTTATAATAAACTATGCCATATAGCTTACATCTTACATAATCATGTGTAAATTAGTATAAAGTTTGGTGGTTTTCCCATGTCTATTATTTACTATTGATTTCGTATTGTTAGAAACTTGACATTTCACAATGTGGGCATATTGTGATTTGTAAGGCCTTACAAGAATATCAAAGGCCTAAAAAGCACATGAACGTTCCACTGGTATCCAAACTAGTTTTGGCATGGTCTCGTTGAAATGGTGTTAATGTACCAAAGACTCATTCTTTGGACCTTAAGAAAATTGTACTAGCTAGAGCCTAGAGCCCATAGTGATAGTGTGTCCTCTCTTATATATAGCTGAGAAAATATATAGCCCAATTATATTTTAAATCAGAACTCGATTAATGTCGAAGAAAAAATTAAGAACAAGAACTCAACGTACGATAAGTCGATAATCAAAGAGGAAAAGTTCACAAGACATGTTCACAAATCCATATTGTCTAGCCCATGTTTAGGTTTTCTAGCATGATATATATATATAAAATATGTAACAAACATCAGTGAATGTAACTAGGATCAGATAGGCATGCATTTGGGGAACCATACTCTAACAAGCATCTCAAATTCTCAATAGTTTTCGTCTTGTAAACATAGTTGTCATGATTTCTACTGGATAAAACTAAAAAGTTATATTTGCTAGGATTCACTTCATGAAGTCTCAAGTCTCTAACTTTCTTGACAAAAGTTGTGGCGTTTAAGTGATCTAGCTATATCAACTGTGTTTAAATGTCTAAGCAAATGAACTTAAGAACACATAAGCTCAACGAATACTTCATGCGTTCTTTATATTAGCATAAATGAACTGAACTCGAAGTAATAGAGGGAATAAAGAAATATATAGAGAGACGGCTGCATCCTAGTGGAAATTTGCCTAATTGGAGTGTAGGTGTAAGGATACCACGTAAGCCATTAACGGCGCCGTTTGACCGCATTACTATTGGAAAGTATATGTTAGAAGAAGACACTTTTGATTTATCAATAATATATATCTTTTGCTCATCATGTTTTGATTTTGTTTACTAAATGAATAAGGAGAAAAAAGTGTTTGATTTTTGCTACACACGTGAGACAGCTACGTAAGCAAGAAACGCCTCTATCTTTCTTCTAAAACATTATGTTACATATAAAATTATCAAAACCCTTAAGGTCGATTTAAGGGTCATAAAACGGATTTGTTTCGTTGAAGGGCCAAGCTTAGACTTAACCCTAAACAAAAAAACACACAATTAATCTCATTGGTTTCTAAAATAAATTATTTACAAAGCATACGTACTGCATGAGCCATATTTGTAACTACTATACCATATAGAATATTTTAAGAAAGACAAATACATGTTTTTCACTACAAAAAACACAAACTTATTACTATATTTTTTGGTTGAAGATAGATACTCTTTGGAGGGGACATTACATTAGCCTAATGCATGTGAAGTAGCTAATCACACTAATATTTTTGGTTGAGAAAGATATGTAACTAAATAATAAAAATTGGAAAAAAAATGTCAACAAATAAACACTAGACAGATAGAATTGAGAATTGCATATCAAATAATCGAGATCGTTCATGCATGACGCACAACTATTTATAGAAATTTATATATAGAAAGAAATATTTTTGTAGAAAATGAAAAGAAGAAATAAAATAAAATAAAAGAAGAGGAAAGTGGAAAAGAACCAATGGTAGAGGAGGAGGCACAACTATTCGCGGAGACACGGAGCCGCTCCGCACCCATCACCTTGGAATCTCTTTTCTTTCTCTTTCCTCATCACCAACTAGTCAACAACCACACACCCTCCCTCACCATTTCTTTTTTTTCTTCTTTTCTTTTCATAATTGACATAGCATTACCCAAAAACAAAACTAGCATATAATTTCTAAGGAGACAAATTATAATTACCCATATAATCGGTAAAACGATACACCTAATCTTATAGCCGTATCGAGTTACCAATCAAAACCACCTATATCATATTTTAACAATACAAAATAATAAGTTTTGGCACTAATCATTCTATTTTGTAGTTTTGTAGGGATGTATTAAACTTTTTTTGGTTATCCAATGATAATTAAAAATAATAAATCACAAAAGCATGACCCATTCCTTCACTCAAGTATCAATGTACCTCTCCTCTCTGTCTATATATATTACTTACTCTGCCTTCTTCTTCCAAACATTAAAACCCTTGTCCCACTCTCTCTCTCTCTCTCTCAGCAAATATCTTTTTCTTGTACCAAAAGCAAAAAAAAATATCATCTTCTTGAATCTTCCAAGATTACAGCAAAAAAAAAACAATTCAAGGAAAGAAAGAAACATTACTTCATAAAAAAAAAGATTTTACTATGAGTTGCAATGGTTGTCGAGTGCTTCGAAAAGGTTGCAGCGAGAATTGCATCCTCCGTCCATGTATTCAATGGATCGAGTCACCCGAAGCTCAAGGCCACGCCACAGTCTTCGTCGCTAAGTTCTTCGGCCGCGCTGGTCTCATGTCTTTCATCTCCGCCGTACCTGAATCTCAATGCCCTGGTACTTTATTAAATACAAATCCCTATCTCTTTCTCTTCATCCTTGTTTCAACACGACGACGTTTTCTAATTCTAAGGGTATTTTCGTCTTCTTACAGCTTTGTTCCAGTCTTTGCTCTACGAAGCTTGTGGAAGAACTGTGAATCCGGTGAACGGAGCCGTCGGGTTGTTATGGACTGGGAATTGGAATATTTGTCAAGCCGCGGTTGAGACGGTGCTTCGTGGCGGTTCTTTGAAACCGATACCGGAGCTTCTCAACGGCGGCGGTGGATTCGCCGGGTTCCCGTCTCCTACTTCTGACGAAGCTTCTGAGATCTGCACTGAAATGTTGAATCTACGGAACGAAGATTCCGGTGACCGGAATATATACCATCACTGTCGATTCTCGAGCTCTAGATCCAGATCGACGGCTTCTCCGCCGAAACGGAAACGATTAACGTCGGAACAACCTTCGTCGGAGCTCGATCTCTCTCTAATCCCTACTTTCTCGATTAAAACGGCGCCGTTCAAGGAGGATACACCGTCGATGTACTCTGAGGAGTCTGTTACTACAGTGTCGTTCCGAGACAACACCGCCGGTGATCGGTACGTACGCGGCGGAGGAGAAACGGCGAAGTTGCTCAACCTCTTCGCTTAAACGGCGAAGTTGCTCAACCTCTTCGCTTAAACGGCGTCGTTACTTTTTTGAAATATTGGGGTTAAAAATGTAATTTCGAGTAACTTCTTTTTTCCTTGTGCCCTTTTTTGGATTAATATTTTGGGAAATGTGGCAAATTACGTGATTTTGTTTTCTCACTTTTTTTTATTAAATGAGAGGATATTAACTTTAAAAGTAATCTTAATTAATTTAGAGAATAATCGGTAAAATTAGTCGGTGGTGTACTGTTTATTTTGGGTTCATAATCATATCATCTCCCATTGAATTTTGAATATTAAAAAGATAAACTATGATTATGTGTACGGTAAAATGATGATTATGAGCTTATTATATTGTTTGCTTTTAACTTTTAATCGATATATTGAACAATAAAAATGATATAAATCACGGATTTGAAGTCAACATCTTCCAAAAGCCAAAGCACCGGCCAAGTCTTGACACCATCGTAAACGTACTTCGATTATTTAAGGACCACAACATGTAATCACAAGTTGATGATATTTTGATAATCAATCATCTTGATTTACTCCCCCATTAAATACATAATAAGCATTAATGATCTCCAGGTTTATTGTCTTTAGTACTTAATACATTTCTTATCCAAATGGTTTCTTTGATACAACTCTCTCTCAATGGCTTTGTCTATGACGTATAAAATTATTTAAAGATTAGTCTATACCATACAATCTCCGTATGAATGAATACAAAACTCTTATTAGGATTAAAGAAGGGTGCATTCCATAAACATGTGAATATGCTTTTTTTTCCATCCAATAACTTTATCAAACGTTACCAACGGAATCGTTGTTTACAAAAATGAAAAACGAAACAACGATAGTGTTGATAATGCTTAAAAATATGTGAATATGTATGAATGGGAGAGTAGAGTAGATAGAAATGCATATGCATAAATAATAAAATGGATTGAACCAAAAAGTTAAGAGGTTTTACAAAAGGAGAGGAGAGCTTTCGAGGGAGAGGCGGCTTTTGGACGACGCAAAGAGCCGTTTTTGTCACTTCTTCGTCGTGGAATCTTCAAAAGTACTCTTTTTTTTTTTTAATTATATTTTGTTATTTGTTTTGATACAAACAAAAACTAATAGTATATGTCAAGGTATTTATTAGTTGTTCTGTGGACTCTGGATGATGGCGTAGAAAATAGAAATAATTAAATAGACCAATAACATGTTTGCTTGCTTATAACATATTTAAAAATTTTGAGTATCCGATAACATACAATTGCGGAATCATCATTCTTTGAGACCTATCATATATTTCATTTAGTTTGCATATTTATATAGAAAACTTCATCAAATAATTCATCAGACATAACTAACTTATTTTAAATGGTGGTTGCTAGATGTAAACAAAATAATTGGACATGGGTTTAATTTGTAATTTGCATGGTAACTTTGTCATCCCTATTTCATCAATTAAATTGGTACCAAGTATTTTTATCCGGTTAAAATTCGGTAAATAAACTATTCGTCGATTACATATATTTTGAAAGATTCATCCGCGGCTGGAAACCGGAAATTATCCTCTAATAATAATAAAAAAATATAAATATATCATTTTTACGTTCAAAAATCACATAAATTATTGAAAAGAAACATACAGTTTAAAAGTATAATATAAATTTGAAAACTAGACAAAAAAAAAAAGAAAGGTACAAATAGTGTAATAATTAGATCTTTGAAAACTTACAGCTGATTTTACAAAATAAAAAAAGAGGTCTCATTATCATCATAGAAAATAGAAAGAAAGAAAAAAAACTACATTGTAGTACATTAACGATGACTTTCTTTTTATGTGTAAGAAAACAAAGATGGACATATTTTTCGAGTTTTATTTGCAAAAAAATCGTTGAAAATGAGGATAAAAAATAAATGTTTGTTGGAACAGAAGAAGTGATTTGAAGATCTTATGAAGTGGGACTCATTTCGACCAGCCACCACTGACTGGGCAGCAAACAAATGCTTGTGGTCCTCGTCACTCTCTCTTCCTTTTTCTGACAACCCTAACTCTTTTTCTTTTCTTTTCTTTTAAAACAATCTTTTTGTTTCAACAACCTCTCTCATTGACAATCTTAATTATTTTCTTTGATTTGGGCAAAAACACTCGACCCAACCCAATTTCGAGTTGAGTAAGTATAAGTTTCTTGATAACCCTAAAGTTTCTAGCAACAAGAAGACTGATTCATCTTGAAGAAGAAGATAGAACCTTAACTCTTTGCTAAAGTTTAAAGAATTTGTTTATTATTTTGTTTTGGCCATACAAAAACCTAAAAAAGTTTGGTGCTCCACAAGATGAGGATTTTAATGAAAGATCTTTTCGAATTTTGGGATATGAGAGAGAGTGGGGTTTACTTCATCCTCCTTCGTTCAATCTCGTCTGTTTATTAACATCTAATTAGTGTCTAATCATGAATATTACAAAATTCATTGACCTAATTTTATTTTTTTAATCTACTTTATGGAGCTAATTATACTAGCTAGTAGAAAGATTCTATACGATTTGGATAAACATGAGTTCCATCACCAAAATTATAAAAAATGAGAATAAAAATACTTAGAAAACATTTGAGAAAGATTCGTGTCTGATGCCAAAAGCCACGAGCAGCCGCAGTTTTTCTAATAGGGGCCCAAATATGCATTCATCACCTTCTCCACTTAAGTCGGTGTGAGTGAGAGTCCACTTGATACATACCAACAAATCAGTTTAGTTATTCTTATAATATTATTAAGGAATACCTAAACGTAAATAATTATGTTTGAATAATGAAACGTTTTCTTTCTTTTTATATTCCACAAAAATGGTGATCAATAAAAAAAACACATGTAGGTGAAAAAATAAATCGTGGAACATCAAATGATCAAAACACTAGTCAGTTTAAATAGAATATTAAATCAATAATGAAGAACATTGAAAATCAAGGTTGTATTCATAATCAGGGGCGGATCTACACTATGTGGAGGTGGGGCACGTGCCCCACACTCATTATTAATAACGTTTTAATTGATAAGTAAACAATATTATTCACCTAGCTCATTTGGTAAACTGTGCCCCATGTTCCTGTTTGATATCGGTGTTCGATGCTTAAACCCTTAGTTTTTGTTTACATTTTCTTATTTTCTTCCCAATTTTTTAATTACTATTTTTTTTATTAGTTAGTTTTAATTGGTGCCCCATACATTTTTTTCCTCTAGATCCGCCCCTGTTCATAATGATTCATAATAAAAACACCATGCTAATTGATTTTTCTTTTCTTTTTGTGGGTTATCTATCTTAGGATTAGCTCAAATATTAACAACAACATAGTTCTTGATATGTAGTTGAACATAGTTCTTGATGATTTTTTTTTTTTTTTGGTTTTGCACATCACCACCCAAGTGATATATATATATATATTTTTTTTTTTTGAATGCAATGTTAAATTATTTTTGTACTAAAAGATGTCCAAATGAAGTATTGAACCTTGGTTTGGGAGTGTCAAAGCTAACATATTTACCAACTGTTCTACTGTTGTTACGATATATAATTTCTTTTACAACACCTTTATGTGGAAGACATAACAAATCGACATATTTAGACTTCTGAATCTTTGTGTGATTTGAAATTTATGCGCATGTCCGGACAATTATCCCAAGACAGTCCCACTTCATACAAGACGTCTCAATTGTTTGTTTCTTGCCTTTTGTATTTTCTCCAAGTTAGTTATCTTTTCTAATTTAACGAGTTTCTTGTGAATCAATATATCAGTAACACTATTCATAACCAAATAAATGTTAATTGACTTAAGGTTATTAATCGAGATGATGATAATCACAAGACTTGGTCAGCATATTGTGGTCCTTAAGCAAGCAAAAAATTTTAGGGTATATATAATTGTGTGATTATTATTATCCTTGGAGTAAGGAGAGAGGACCCAAGAGCCATATTGCCCCTTCAAATCTTTTGTTGGCCGTAGCCCCCTTATTACACTTATAATTTACACTTCTTAATCAAAAGGATATTAATTCTTTTTATTAAAGCAATAAAAAAAATGTGTCGAACAAAATAGAAAATATAAGATTACTAATCAAGTCTTTAATCTTTATCCATTCGTCTAATGTATGAGTTGATGATTCAAGATTTAATATATATAGATATATGATGATTACAACGTCACTAGCTAACATCAATCTATCGGGAATCATATTTTTGTGCGAAGGGTGTATTTGTAAGACTTGTTTGGGATGATGATAATCACAATTCACACAGACAGTGTTGAAGATTTGGGGAAAGATCGCAGGACAAGGACATGGAGTGGGATCCTACACGTGACTTTCACGTGACTGGTTCCCTCATCGCTGGAACATATTATCCACCTTTTTGGGTCCCCTTCTGATTTCTCAAACTTTGACTAAATCTCTTTTTTTATTACATTGTTGTTTGTACCACATGTAAATCATCTATATACGAATTAGAGAATATGTCTTTGATGAAAAAGAATATATATATACTTTGGTAATAAACCGTTTTGTTTTGTTTGATATATTTATTTCTTTTGCTCACACCTAAACGTACGTTATTGACCAATCACCACAGTCAAACGAAGCTTTACTTACCACACCAAATAAACCATTAATAATGTAGGTTTTGTCGGTTGCGAGTGAGCTGACTAATCAGTAAATACTAAATGCACTGTGTTTTAAGTGTAAACTAGATTCGGACCCGCGCTACAGCGCGGGGGAAAATTACCGGATTTTTAATCCTTTGTACGTTGCGAGATAATTTATTTGTGTTTGCTTTACTTTATTTTGATTATTAATTAAATTCTATCATTTTTAGATTGTATTTTTTGTGTTGGTTTCAAATATGTTCAAAATTATTTAAATTGTATGATTTTAGTTGGATTGTTAATTTTAGAACAATATGTGACATATATACATGTATAAATATTATACTATGAATCATTTTTAAAGTTTAGGGATTGACCCGCGGTACACCGCATAATCATAAATACATGATTTTAACTTGGACCTTTCATGCAGTTTTGTAAAATTGCAAATCTCTAGAATAAACAAATAAAGAGTCAATGATTTCTTATTTCTTATCGTGTTAAAATGTAAAATCTGTGTTTATGTTACAATTTTCTGGTAGCAGAAACTTATTTATATAGATAATATTTTCTTAGAGTTAGGTTAGCGTTGAAAAAAAGATTAGCTTTATAATCAAGCCAGAAATTCGAAACTATTGCCAAATAAATATATTAAAGATGGTTGAAAATGAATTATCCCGTAATTGTTGTGAAGATCATAGTTAATATAGGAGAAAACTATACATCTAAATATTAATATAAGATATTTAAGGAACATTTTGTTTTGAAATATTATGGATAATTTGATAAATATTTTATATTTAATTCATATTTCTGATTTTTAGGTTAATTTGTTAAACCAATATACAAAATCATACATTAATGTATTTTTCCTTAAACAAATTAAGATTAATGTACTTTCCAAAACCGATATTGATGGTTTAATTTGTTAGATTTCGAAATAATATATATGGAAACTGGTATTTAATATCTTTAAATTTTTAGTAAGATCCAATTGAAAAATTTCGGGTTAATTTTTTAAAAAAACCCGACCCAAGAAACTTTTGTACTTCTCTTTTACTATAGTAGGGATTAATCCAGTAAAAAAAACGAGCTCAGTTTTCACATAGTTAAGGGTGTTTGCAAGAAAAAGTTTTTAAATTATCATGTTTTCTTTTCTCTATTTTTTTTTTTTTAAACATGTAGGTCATGCAAAGTTAAAGGTAACAATCTAAGTACAATTAAATTTGTAAGATTTATCAAATTGACACCCTCACCGACAAAGAGTTTCTGTAATTTTATTAAAATCTTTTTTAAAATTATAGTTTATAGTATTTTATTTTACATTGTTGGATTAGTCTACATTTTGTTGGAGGTAAAAGATAAAACTGAAAAATTGACAATTATTTGTACATAAAAGCATATATTAAACTGTCATGTTTTTTTTGTACCATCTCTTCCGTACATGATTTTAGATTGTAATACTGTAGTTCGTTACAAATCAGTAACACTACAAAAAAGTGTTAATAAACCATTGAAATAGGCTTTGTAAGTATGGGCCAGAAAGTGCCAATATGTAACAGTTTGATAAAGCCCAATAGACTTAACTTACGCAGCTTCGTTATGTCTAACGAAACGTACGCGTGGAGGCATGAAACACAAAACCGAAAACCCATTAAACTACAATGAGCGTTTACCTTTTAAACCATTAAAAAAAAAAAACCTTAAAATGGCAGCGGCTTAAGGAAATGTAGTTGAAAAAGTGTAAACTAATTGTAGGTTGAGAGGTGTTTAGTTAAAGACTCTCTCCTACTTATATGATATTAATAATCTGAAAAATCCATTAATTTATTTTGAATTTTTTTTTTTTTGTCGGCGACATACAAAACAGAAGGCTCAAACGAGTCAATTCGAAGGACAATTGTTAACAAACTTGACTGAAGACGGACTAGAACAAGCTTGATATTGAATTCTTGATGACAATTTAAGCTTTTCTTTTCTTTCTATATTCTTTCTTACTTTCTTTGCAGAATAAAAGCTCTTTATAGCTATTCAATTTCCTATCTCTTTTGTTATAATGTACGCAAAAAGAGTTACAATAACCTTGTATTGGATTCTCCCACAACTACAACCAACCCACCTATAACAAACATTTTCTAGAGGGGACCAATCGAACAAGACTAACCAACCAACGATAACTATTTATGACCAATAAGTCAGTCTTTTAAACCAGCTTAACTCTGCGGCCACGGCCATACAAAAGAAAATCTGATAAATGCGATAAATTATTTGTAGATTTATGTAGATTTGAGTGTTTTAGTGCATGTTATATAACTTATATATATCTCAAGGCCAAGAAATTTTGAATTCAATAATTGAACAACGTCCAAATGCTAAATACAAAACCGACCAAACTCATAAGAGTAGATATAATTTTATTTTTGTTGCAAAGTGCATGCAGTGATTTTATCCATGAATGCGATTGCGCTGCTAAAGAGAATAATAGCAACCTAGATGACAAAAATACTCAGCCGTACGTATATACATAAATACAAATTAAACCTGCCACTTCACATGTCACCCACCATTAAGCACCCCTTCACAGAGCCTTGATGCTTTCTATATAGTAACAAAAACATTCAACTTCTTTTGTTCGTATCGTATGTAATGTTACAATAATTTTGAGTAATAATACTAAAAATGTAACACTTTCCTTAAATAACATATACATTGTTTACACAGACTACAAGATTCAGCATAAAATACATGAACCCTTCCGCGACCTAACTATTTGATTCCTGTGTTTTAGCTATTTAAGACATATATATACTGGGCATACATCTCTATATATCGGATAAAAGCTGTTCGTCCTTGCAAATATTTGTCTTACACAACACAAGCGACCGAAGCGATGCGTTTCCCAATGATAAGGTTTACCCACATACTTACACGACTCTCTCTACTGTCTCGTCTCTTTCTTTCCTCATCCTTCTCCTTTGTCTCCTTCCTCTCTATTCTTCACTTTTTCAGAATTTCTTTTTTACGTAAATATTATGGACATGTCGTTTTCACCACCCTTGTCTACTCTTTTTTTGTTCTTTTTGTTTCCTCTTGAGCCACAATTAGAAGATTGAGAAGATTCAACCTACATTTTTCTCTCTAAAACTCAACACAAATGACCAAGACCCGGCTTCTTAACCCGACCCGACTCTCTTCTCTCAAACCACTACGAGGGTGCGACGCCAACTTCATGGAACAGCTCCTCCTCCACTGTGCAACCGCCATCGACTCAAACGACGCAGCATTGGCTCACCAAATCCTTTGGGTGCTCAACAACACCGCTCCACCAGACGGTGACTCCACCCAACGACTAACCTCCGCCTTCCTCCGCGCGTTGCTCTCACGCGCCGTCTCCAAAAACCCTACATTATCATCCGCCATTAGTTTCCTACCTCCGGCTGATGAACTCCACCGGTTCTCAGTAGTGGAGCTAGCAGCATTCGTCGACCTCACTCCTTGGCACCGGTTTGGATTCATCGCGGCCAACGCAGCCATCTTAACCGCCGTGGAAGGTTACTCAACGGTTCACATCGTTGACCTAAGTTTGACTCATTGTATGCAAATCCCTACTCTCATAGACGCCATGGCAAGAAGACTCAACAAACCTCCTCCGCTTCTTAAACTCACCGTCGTCTCTTCCTCCGATCACTTCCCACCGTTCATCAACATATCTTACGAAGAACTCGGATCCAAACTCGTCAACTTCGCCACCACAAGAAACATAACAATGGAGTTCACAATCATACCTTCAACTTACTCTGATGGCTTCTCATCCCTCATACAACAACTACGGATTTATCCTTCTTTCAACGAAGCTCTCGTCGTTAACTGCCACATGATGCTCCGTTACATCCCTGAAGAAACCCTAACTTCATCGTCATCATCGCTGAGAACAGTTTTCTTGAAACAACTCCGATCTTTGAATCCAAGAATCGTAACCCTAATAGAAGAAGACGTAGATCTCACGTCTGAGAACTTGGTTAACCGGTTAAGATCGGCTTTTAACTACTTCTGGATACCGTTTGATACAACCGACACGTTTATGAGCGAGCAGAGGCGGTGGTACGAGGCGGAGATAAGTTGGAAGATAGAAAACGTGGTGGCGAAGGAAGGTGAGGAGAGGGTGGAGAGGACTGAGACAAAGAGACGGTGGATTGAGAGGATGAGAGATGCTGAGTTCGGTGGTGTTAGGGTAAATGAAGAGGCGGTGGCGGATGTGAAGGCGATGCTGGAGGAGCACGCCGTCGGGTGGGGAATGAAGAAGGAAGATGACGACAACAGTCTCGTGCTGACGTGGAAAGGTCATAGTGTAGTGTTTGCTACCGTTTGGGTTCCCATTTAAATCGAGTTGATTAGATTTGAATTAATTACCGATTTAATTGGATTGCTCTGATTTGTAGTTGGGTCTAATTCTAATGTCATTGTTTTGTATTAATTTGTTCCAACATTACCGGAGAAAATAATTCGTTACTGACTTATTGTAAATTTTTATATGCATTTTTAGTTGACAAAATACAGAGTGGTACACAAAAAAAAAGGGATTAAAACTTAAAATAAAGAGTAGGATAAATTCAATTATCTTCGTGAAATAAAGACATAAACAAAACAAATGAAATAACAATATTTTATCATAGTCAAAATGAAGTTTCAAACATTAATCAAATGAAAAAGAAAATAAAGATGAAGGGGATAATAAAATATCTTTTTTTTTTTTTTGTCATGAAATAGCTTTATATTATTCCATCATCATCATCTCTAGTTAAACGCACCGCAGTCACGACGGATGTTACCATTATGGCTATTCTTGACTCCAACACGGCCGAGTTTGGTAATAGCCGTCACGAAAGCGCGGTTGAAAGCCGTAGAGTTAGAGGCCCAAGCGTTAACGGTGGGTCTTGAGCGACCGTCGGTGAAGAGAACTTGATCGGAGGTGAAGAGACCTTTGCCTTGTTGAAGATTCTTGAAGTAAGTGTTATCAAATGTCTTGGGGGTGACAGGGTCCATGTTGATAGCGATTCTTGGGTCCACATTCTTAGGACAAGCCTTTTGAAGCTCTATAGCGTAAGCTTTGTTTAGAGTTGGGTCCACTGAGTTGATGCCGTTGAAGTTGTAGATTCTTTTAAAGACCTTGCCGCAATGTGCGAATCCAAGGGTGTGAGCCGCTACATTATGAAATACATATATATATATATCGGTTTAGATATTGATGCATTTTGGGTGATATAGTTATTTATATGAGATATGTTTTGTTTAAAATCTTGGTTTACCTGAAAGAGCAATCATATCTTCTTGGGTAAGTTTGTTTTTCTTGAAAAGAGCGTTGAGTTTGTCTACATTATCGGAAGGTCCTGGTAAGTTTCCCTCGACACTAGACGCAGTTGATACCAATCCGTCGAATCTACCGAGTTCGACTTCATAGGACGGTCCTCCAGCCTATACATGCATTTTATAAGACCATATTTCATAAAACATTTCTAACTAGCAATGAGATATACTAATATTTTTTAAAATGCTCACAAAAATATAGTATTTGTAGAATATGAAGATTAATATGAATTTTAGTGTAGGATAATTCTTGTTAATAGAATGGTGAATTCGGATACTTACCGCAACAACGACATCTCGGGTGGCCAAAGTAAGAATATCAGCGCATGAGACCTTGTTCCGGCACTGAGGGTTAGCGTCAAGGGCTTTCTTAGCTTGCATCACCACATCAAATCCATCTCCGGCTAGCGAAATGTTATCTGGATGATCCTTTTCTGCCTTGTTCTTAGGCGTTGACTGGATCATGACTGAGGCATCACAGCCCTACAATGCCAATTACGTACACCAAAAGGGAAGAACTAAGAAACCAATGAATCGCCTTACAATAGAGGAGAACATAGATATAAAACCGCTTTTAAACTAAAACATACATTGACAAAGCAGTCGTGGAAGAAGAGACGGAGAGTGGCAGGTATAGTGACGAATGTCTGCTTTACTTTCTTTTGGACGGCATTTCTCACGATTTGTTCGACGTTGGGGCAAGTTTTGGAGTAGAAACCGCGGCTTAGCTGCGCGGTGGTTGTATCGGGAAAGACTGAGATTGTGAGACAAAGTACCACGACTAGAACCATACCAAAGCTAGCCATTTTCTTGGACAAAACCGAGAGAGAAGGAGTGGTGAAAGTGATCCAAGAGAAGAAGAAGAGAGATGCTTTAAATTGATGATGATAGTAAAAGTTGCACGATAAATGGTTTATATGATGATGGGCTAGGAGGACAAAACAAATTATTAAAAAAGATCCATTTGTTTGTATTGTATTTTAGGCTTTTATTCGATTTTTTGGTTAACTGCACCAGGCCTATACCTTATTCATTTCATTTTATACTTGTTACTTGTTAGCATGATGTAATTAAAATTAAGTTACTTCTGTTAAAAATTCTGACAATAGTGGAAAATGACCAAAGAGTTCTTAAGTAAGATCTGGCTAAAATATTACCAATAATCTTGCCCTAAGACATACATAATTGAGTTACCAATATCCAATTTCTAATTTGCCTCAGTTAAATTAATCGTGTACTTATATAATTAAGATTAACTGTATGAATATGTGATTATGGATTTATCTGCTGTAAAAGGTAAATCTGGATAGCCGACAACAAAATAACAAAAATGGATCGCCGAAACAAAAAAAGAAAGTAAAAGTGGATTACCATTACTAAAAGTGGACATGTGGTTTGCACGTCGTTACATGAAAGTCAGTGAGAGCATCATAATGAAAAACAATACTTAGAACAATAGTAATTATACATTTTAATGGTGGAGGTGCATACGAATATCACTTCATTGGTGCATAACACCTAATTTTGTTCCCTGCCATGGTATATCATATATATGGACACAGCAAATTTATGAAACTGATATAGTATATTTTTTCTAAATATACAATCATGTGATAAATTGTTATATATGTTCGAAATCGATTTCGAAATAGGTGATTCGACCGCATGAAAGCAACCTTAGCTCAACCATACTTGATATGCTCCGCACAGATGGTTAAGAATCTAAAAAATTGATATTTAAAGTTTTGTGGAAGATCACTTAAAATCCATTACATAGAATTTGGATCTTTATTCTAACCACGCCTTGGAATGATTAAAGGCAAAATGCCATTTGCCTTTTAAATAAACAATTATGATGAAGAGATTGTGCAAGCCACGCTCCTTTTTGTTTGGGTTGACAACTTGATTAATGTCAAACCATTAAAATATCTGCGGTTCATATATACAACCTTTATTGCTTTATGCGTTTTAATTTAATTTATAAATCTGCATATGATATTTTCTCTAGCTAGAGAGTCGAAACTAGAAATACCCACGAGAGGCTTCCCTTCTTTAAACACAAGCATAGTGTTTCCCCCACGAAAGTTTCCAGGACACGAATTGAAGCACATCCATGAATTTGTGTTCCAACCAAAATAACTTCTGATCATCTTCATTGGGCCTGGTTTAGATATATAGTTAAAGTCATATATAATAATATATAATAATTTTAGTATGAAAAAGCATATAGTATAAACGAACTATTTAATAAGAAGAAAACAAAATATAAACAAGACTCACGTCTTTTATAAAGAAGTAACACTAACATAACGATATTCTAGAAAAACTACTCTCTTTCGTGCAAAATTATCCATAAATTGCAAATTTTTTAACAAAAAATGACTTTTTTTTTTATATATATTCCTATTAAAAAGATTATTTCAAACAAATATTATATAGAGATGCTCAATTATGGTTTTTAGTTTTTGATTATTACCTATAATAAAGATTCATAAATTGAAAATTCCAAGGAGTGTTCACGTCCCATAATTATAAATCAGAAAACAAAAACCCTAACAGCTCTTAATTATAAAAAAAACCCTAACGAATCTAAAAGAAACGCTATGGAACTCCTGCCCCATGTTCTTGTAGAAGAGATTTTGCAGAGAGATCTTTGTTAATTGGAAAGTGCATCCTCCCGACCAAGCTACATGGAGACCCTTTCACTTATGAGCATCCTTTCATCCTTGAGGACAAGGATGTTCTGAAGAAGGGAGTATTGTGACAGGACAAACCGGTTAAGAACATGATTTGGGATTTACAATTTACTGTTTCAAAATCCTGATATATTTCTTCTCTGCTATGGTTTTCAAAAAGGCTATAATAGTGAACGAGCAACAGCTTACTATGTGATTAATCCCGCAACTAGATGGTATCGAAGTCGAGAGGTATGGCCATTGAATTCACAAAAGACATGGGAGAAAAAGTATAGTTTACATCTAGATATTGCTTCTTTCCAGATTGGTGAGTCGTTTTATACCATTACACCGCTCACGCTTTTAGAAGAAGAAAAACTATTACTTCAGTGCTACGTTGATACGGCTCCATATTTAGTGGTGTACGATATTAGACTAAACTCTTATTGTTTACCAAAGAATGTTACTTGGATCTAGCTATGTCTTATTTTCCAAGCTTAATCTCTATCTAGCTAGTTTACATGCATCTTGATCTTATTATTTGTTAAATAATGGTAACTATAATGTTGGTTTTTTCTTCTTATTAATTAATTACCTCGTAGTAGTTTTATGAGATTTTCACTAGATATATATGACTTTAGGATTATTATACTCAACTCGGAAACCCAAAAGATATTTCTCATCAGCTCTATTTAACATATATTCTTGCAATATGCAAAATCCCTAACAAGAACATGAATTGATCATCAAGATATAGAGTGTCTTCGGCCTTTGGGTGGTTTGGTTTGTCCTTGTTTGAGTCCAAAAGGGTTAAGCTTTCCGAGTTTTCGAGATATAGAGCTTATAAATGACTTTCTTTGTAATCGAGGCTTAACAACCGAAGCAGTTGAAACCGAAGAAGAACAATCAGAACCACTCGTGAGTACTTCAAAAGCTTTCTCCTTCTCCAACTCCTTGAACTTCATTTTCACTTTGATCAACTCGAGCTTCAAGTCTTGGTTTTCGCGGTTTAGTTTGGAGAGTTCATTGTTGTAGGAGCTAAGCTCATCAGGAGGAGGAAGAGTATCTCTAGCGGTTGCTGCTACTGCTGGAGAATCTGATTCGCTTAAAATTTCACGGAGATGTTGTTGCTCATAGTAGAGAACTTGAACCATGGTTTGTACAGGGAGACGATCATTTTGAGCTGCGTGAGCACACTTTTCTCTTGATAGCTTTTGACAGTCTATTAAGCTGCAAACTTTCTTCTTCTCCATTTCACTTATATTCGGATGTGTCTGCACCAACAAGATTATAAACAACATTTTTCTAGTTCCAAGTAACACTAGAGATTTCTCATTTTTTTTTATCATGTGATTCAAAAATTCCATAACATCTTTAAAACTTTTCAAGATATAGGTCAGAACATTCTGAAAATGTTAAAGCTTTAATATCAAAATGTGTATACCTTGAGGTAGATGTCTATGGCTTGATACAATCCATCTTCAGTAATCCTAGACTGTTTCGGAATGCATTCGGCAAAACCGATGAATTTTGCCAAGTTTATGTTTCTATCAGAAGCTATTTCAGCCAGATAACTCTCCATCAACTCACCAATATCACTGGCAAAGGCAGTAGAGCTTCCTTCAACTTCAAACTCAAGATAGTTCATGAGGATACGTTGAACAGTGTCAACATCAAACATTGTGTTGTCTCCATTCAATGAGTAAGAAGGAATCAAGAGATCATCAAGGGAAGCTTGTCTTAACTGTAATCCCATTCTTTTCTCCAAATCAAGCATGCAAGCTACCGTGGTTTCGAGGTATATCGCAGCTCTTAAAAGCATCGAAAGAAAGCTAAATGACATTGTGTTTCTCTCCCTCGGAAGAAGACTCACAATTGTTTCAAGAATCAACCTTTTCTCATGTTCTTGTTCTGCCTCCATCTTCTTTGTTGCTCTTTTCCCAAAAATCTCCTGTATTCTCAAAAGAGAAACTGACATTTCATTACATCTTTCTTTGAAATTATAGTAAACACAAAAGACATTGTTCTACTAAATAAACAAAAAATCAAGAATCTCACCAACCCTCTTAGAGCTTTTTGAGCATAGAGCATAAGCACTGGACCAAGCGCGTATTGCTTAAACCCTCTAGCAGTCATTGCGATCAAGACACGACGAAACATATCAATCCTTAGAACAGTCATATCCTCAGCCCACCAGTCAACTATATTTTCATTCCTCTGGCTCTCCTGACAAGCTGCATAAGCAATTGAATCGATACACCGGTCCACAAGTCTCACTCTCTCGGCTATAGGCAACAAATCTTGAGATTGTTGCAGAACTTTAACCGATTTTGATAAACTCTTGAGGATCACTTCGTGTAAGTACACCTCAGTTGTCTCAACAAGGTTTTCAACAGAGTGCTCCTCTGTCATCTCAAGATACTCTGCTGCACATCGTAGCATCGCAATGTTCTCTGTGGTTATCTCGAAGCTTATGTCGTAGCAGAATTTGATTACTAGCTCAAATGTTTCCGCACCTCCGGGGAAATCTGGGGTTTTGATAACCGTAACTTTCGAATCGTTGCTTGTTTCGGAAGCAAGTTTCTTTATAAACCCACATTTTGACACAAGTGGAAACTGCATATTATCACAGAGACTATGTAAAAGAAAAAGTTACCTCATACTATATAATTAGTAGATCTTGAAATAAAAAGAATTTCACCTTGTGTAGTGAAAACAAAGTTTCTCCAACATCAACAGTGATGTCACTTGGAATCTCTTGAGAATAAATCCTGAAATGTAATTCATAATCAAGAACAGAGGAAGTGAAAATATACAGAAGAAAATGAGAGAAAAGTATAAAAACAGAGTAAGAAACAAACAAACAAACCATTCACTAGTTCTCTTCATGGCTGAGGACAGAAGCTCCTTCTTCTTTCCAGACATATTTACCAACACTTAGACAAGGATCAGTTTCTTCTTACTCAAGAAATCAGCCTTAACACTCATTGATAAATAGATTATAGTTTCATGTTTGACATATTCTTACACGCAATCTAAAGAGACGACGAAAGAATATGATCCACCAAACGTCAAAGAGGTAAGGGTCCAAACAAAACATAATAATTGTCAAGTAGTGAACGATCACTCAAAATAGTGAAAATATTTTACTGAGAAACCGGAAAAATAAACATAGCATGGTTCTTTATATATGTTACCGACAAAAACATGTGAAATGACAGGATTTTACGTATCAAAAGATGAAACTATTGTTCACAAAGGCACACATGCATAAAGAAAGCTTCTATTATTCTTTACTTCTTTCTCCAAAGTTTTAAGATGTTAAATCTTGTCGTCGTCGACGATCAATAATTCCAAAATCTTATGGTCGCAATCAACCGATTTGTGACCTAACATGAACATGATCCATGAAGGACTAAATACGTTGCACGGGATGGATTTTGATGTGTGACAGAACATGTATATTTTGTATCCCTACAAAGCTTTTATTACCAGATTTATACATTTCGTTTGATAATTTAATGCTTGATTGAGACACAACTCAGCGTTTGCTGTAATTATGGGGTCTGATCTTGCTCTGTCACTTTTGTTGAAGTTTTGACTAGTAATAGTAATAAATACTATTAAAGAAGTCTCATCCAAAACATAAGAAAAAAAATGATTCAAGATTTGAAGTCTTCTTGATAAGCAACAAAACATTAAAAAAAAAAAATTACTTAAGAATGATAGACGATTTTAACAGTCTACAAGAATCATAATTATAAAATCGGTTAGCTTTCTCTTCGACGTAAGAGAATATGTATATGTTAGGAAAAACTGATGTAATCATGTGTTAAAACTTATGTATCACAATAATATCCATTATGGTATTCAAAGGACAAAGAAGAGATGAACAACATATGTTAGACTGTTAGCATAATTCTTATGTAACAGACAGAAACATGTGGAATATGAAAGAATTTACCAATCAAAATCTAAAACTTTTGTCCACAAAGGTACACATAAAGCTTCTATTCTCTACTTTTCTTTCTCCAAAGTTGAAGATCTTAAATTTTGTAGACTATCAATAATTCCAAAAATCTTATGGTCCAATACAACTTTATAATAGAACGAACACTCACCGATTTATATTATGGCTGAACTTGAACAATGATTCATAAATTAGACTAAATAAGCTGCATATATCTTGTATCCTCACAAAGCTTTCATAACCACAAAAGAAATTAAAAAATAAATGAAAAGAAGTAACTATTGACCTCTTCTTCTTTTGCTTCCATGTTGCTCGATTTGAATCAAACTTGGAACATAATCAACCAAATATGGCCGACATGAAGTCCTTGTCCTAACTCGAAAATCCACATTTTTTACTGTATCATCCTCCTCAACAATGGACACTGGTTTTATCGCTTTGTTGTTAAAGAAACGCTTCTCACAAAACAAGACGACATTCTTTTTTTCATGGACCAAAAAACTTATGCCAAGCCAAGATTCATGTCCAGTAGTAGCAACTTCGACTTCTAAAAGCTTGCTCCATGACATATCTTTGGTCTCATCATCAATCTTATTTGTTGTTACCCATATCTCTTTCCTTGATGTATGTTCGCGCTGTAATAACACCAAAAGTTTTTCTTCTCCAACAACTGATAGATACAAATCATCATAACGATAAAACTGATAGGGAAGATGTAGACGTTCCAATCTCTCGGTTGCATAATCAAAACTGATTAAACCGAGCTCTTCCTCTTTCTCATCAACACCAAACCAATAAGTCTTTCCATTCAAAGACACGCGGTAATAAGGATATGCGAAGTTGTAGTTTGGAATCGGAGTGACATTAATACTCCTCCATGAATTAGAGTCAATGTCATAAACTTGAAATTCTTGGTCTCCACAATGATAACTCTTATAGCTCAATATCCTGTAGCTCTTGTTACCGGTTTGTTTGTCTTGGTGATATCCAAGAACAAAGTCATGGAAACTACAATCTTTGCTGGTTGGGATCCATTTGGTTTGACCAGTACACGGGTTCCAAACCACAACAAATATAGTGTTGTCTTTGATGGTGCATAATAACAAGCCATCACAGTGAAAGACTTGCTTTATGTTGACTTGATGTGACTTAGATTGATCGATTAAGCTAAGTTCATCCCATGTAACCTCTAGAGAATTAGGAACTCCACTATGGAAATTCACGTTCAGCAAACAAAGTCTAGACTCATCTGTTAGCGAGAGAACCGTATAATGTTTAGCGGCTTTATCACAATGCTTCTTTAAAAACTTCTTGTCGTTCAACAAACGGTTCCATTGTTTGCAAGTAGATCGAAAACGTTTTAGAGATGTAGCTGGAACACGACATAATATTTCTTCTAATAAATCACGTGGAAGCTCCGACATGTTAATCATTAATCGCCGAACACTCAAAGACTAGAAATTCGCCTGTGAAGTTTTTTCTTTCTTAATCTTATTCCTAGTGTTTTCGTATATATATATGTTGTCGAAGTCCTTTTCCTATTTGGTTTATAGATCAAGTTGGAAGCGTGAGACGTTTTCTTTTTTCCTCCTCATAATATAAATTAGGCAAAAATAAAACAATATCCAGAAATTTAATCTTTGAACGATGACACGTAAGTATCGAAGACGTCCACGTCTAAAAACGATTCAAGATTATCAATCTTGATGAAACAACATAACATAAAATATTACATGGTATGATAAAGAAAACTGTTTCTTATCAGTTCAGAGAGTTGTTTCGTTTTACCTTGAAACTTATTTCATAGGAATCGAAGACGGACCAGATACAGCAACAGCTCTCTGAGCACGCTGCGTTTCACCGCGATACAGCTCCTTCATCTCTTTCTTCACCTTCCTTGCTTCTCGCCTTTCGGTTTTTACAGCATTTTTTCGCTCTTTCTTCTCTTCCTTCGACTCTTGACCATGAGGCTTCCTCTTGATCGGTTCAGCTTTCGGGATTTCAGCTTCAACAACGGTTTGCTCAGCTTTCCTTCCAGGTAGAAACTCAACTGGAAGCATTCCTCTTCCTTGGAGGGTAATGATATTGCCATTTGAATTCAATGCTTTAGATACTGTTTCACTAAGCTTCATCTGCCTGGCTGACAATGGAGCATTGATTTTACCAGGGTGGTTATCGAGATTAGAGTATGTTGATATTATGGATTGACAATCATACTCCTCGCTTTCATCGCTGCTTTCTTCGGTCACCTCTACCAATTCATCTTCATTCCCGTTATCAAAATTTTCAGCATACTCTACAGTTCGGCGTATGATATGAGCAGCAGTGTCCACTTCCTCTTTATCTTTTACAGAGTCACTGTTCTTCAATATATCCGCAGGATTCATATATTTTTCTTCAAGCTCATAATTTTTGGCCTTCTCATAAATAAGATCATGAATGTCTTGAGCCATGTACCCTTCTTTTTCTTCTCCTTCAGCTAGGTAACCATCACAGTCACTGTCACTGCCATATTCATTGAGTTCGAGCTGATCAAATAGCTCATCAATTTGACGAGGAACTCTCGGGTTTTCAGCTACAAGTGTATCAGTTAACCCAACAACATTTCCTCTATCACTGACCTCGTGTCTTTCAGAAAACTCAGCCTTGATATTGCTCACACCAGAAGCTTCACCCTGTTGAGTAAGATTAGCTTGAATGACAAAATCTTCTTCCAAATCCTCAACATCAGAGCCAAACTCAGATCCATCACTGTTTTCAAGTAAGGCAGCAACTTCAGGATCAATAGCTTTCTGCACCTTGACGTTAACAGTTTTAGACGCCACATTATACATCAACTTATCATTACCTTCTTCATTCAGCATACCAGAGATCTTAACACGAGACGCATCATAAGCCTTGACATCACGAGGTAGCTGATCAATCTCAAACTTGGGGTTTGCATAGAAATTAGAACCACCACCAGTGTTCTTAATCTCTCTCAAATGTTCCAAGTAATTATAGCCATCATCAGGATACCCTAACTCCAAAATCTCCTTCCTCAAATGAGCAGGTAAAGGATTACCCGAATCCCCGTAACTGGAGTAACCATAAGCCAACTCTTCAGGAGCATCTTCGAACTGTGAGTTGTCTTCTTCTTCTTCTTCTTCTTCAACGAAAGCATTGATGTTAACAGGGTTCTGATCAACTCGTAAGAAGATCTTATCACCACCTGGTGCGTCACTGTATCTTGGGTCAGACGTATCACGAGGACACAACTCGAAAGTCGCCGCCTTTTTCTTATCAATGAACTTCTTCTTCCCCATTGTAAATCAATTAGCCGCTTCTGAGTGTTTTGCAAACTGTAAAAATAGCACAGCAATGAGGGATTCTATAAATCACATCAATCAACTAGACTACGATTCAATCCTGACTAGTAAACGTGAATTTTATATAATTAGAGTTTATCAATCAACACAAATCATCAAAAAGAGTGTAACTTTAAATCTAGAAACGATTCAAATTCACAAATTGAAGGAACAAACTGAAGAACCTTACCTGAAGAGTTTGAGAGAGAGGCGCAGATCGATGACGATGAATATCAATAACTGTGTTGAAGCTTTTAGGGTAGAGCCAAAACGCATCGTTTTAGGGTTTAAATAAAACGCAGCATTTTCATTGTTCAACGAAACGCCGCGTTTTGGCAACAGGTTAAATAAAATATTCGTTTTATTTCCTTAACTCAGTGTATGCCACTAAGGGAAATAATCCGGCGCGGGAGAGTGCACTGAATGATTACATGCACTTAATCTTCTTCTTCTCCTACGCTCTTCTCCTCTTTGCATCTCTTCGGCGTTTCCTGTTATTGTGCGCCATCTTAATCTTAGGTGCGCCGTTGGCGCATTCTCCTATATTATCACCAACCATCCTCACCTCCGTTGAACCCGACGTAGCTGGTAATAAGATCGATCATCGCCTCGATCCAGCCGAGATCTCTCTTCCTACCTCCGCGCGAGCGATGTCGAAAGCTCGTGTTTATACCGATGTTAACGTGATCCGACCTAAGGATTATTGGGATTACGAATCGCTCAATGTTCAGTGGGGGTAAGAATAAGATCGTGTTTTCGAAAAATTATGAAAACCCTAGGAAGCTAATCCGTATTTGTATATTCGATTATTGGGGTTTTGATGTTTGTTTGAGATCAAATGGAATACTAGATTACAGGAGGATACGATCTTTCTTCAGTAGCTGTATTGATTTTGCTATTAGTTCAATCCATGATTGGGTGATACAAAACTGTGTGTTTTAGTTTTAGCTTTGTATTCTTTTTCCAATTAAAAATTGAATCTTATGGTGATGCTCTTGATTTTTAATCTGTGTTGAGGAGAGTTGGTTGGTTATTATGATTTGTAATCATGATTGGTGATGATGCTTATGATAAAGTATTAAGATTTTTCGTTGTGTTTCGTTTTCCAGGGAGCAAGATGATTACGAGGTAGTGAGGAAAGTTGGGAGAGGGAAATACAGTGAGGTTTTTGAGGGGATAAACATGAATAGCAGCGAGAAGTGCATAATCAAGATTCTCAAGCCTGTTAAGAAGAAGAAGGTGAGTGTGTCTACAGTACTTCAATTGGTGACTTATGAATGTTAGGATTAGATTGAGTTTAGTCAATTTCTGTTGGTTGCTGCTATAAGTTACTTTGATATAGCAAAACAGAAGGAAAAGGCTAAACTGGCTTCTACAGATAGATTAATGAGCAAGGAACGGTGTACTTTTTACAAAGTTCTTGCCTTTAATCAGTTTTGAATTTAGGTTGCCTTTCTGAATTTTTATGATCCTTTTACAGATTAGAAGAGAGATTAAAATACTTCAGAATCTCTGTGGAGGGCCAAATATTGTCAAGCTGCTTGATGTTGTCAGAGATCAACACTCAAAAACCCCAAGCTTGATATTTGAGTATGTTAACAGCACAGACTTTAAAGTTCTGTATCCGACATTGACTGATTATGACATCCGGTACTACATCTATGAGCTGTTGAAGGTAATTTATGTAGAGATTTATAGTTCCATTTTGACTTCTGATCTGTGGATATTTTTTCGTTTCAACAACATATTTAGTTCAGTGAGTTTCCTTTGGCCTGCTGCAGGCTTTGGACTTCTGCCACTCACAAGGAATAATGCACAGAGATGTCAAGCCACACAACGTCATGATCGACCATGAGCTGCGTAAACTTCGCCTAATAGATTGGGGTCTCGCTGAATTTTATCATCCTGGAAAAGAGTATAACGTCCGTGTGGCCTCAAGGTATGATAGACGCCACAGATATAGCTGGTTTTGCTATCCCATTGTATTCTAAACAGATTAAAATATGTAGTCTCTATCAGTAAGTAAGCTTGATGAAATGTTGTCTCCTATCTCAGATACTTCAAGGGACCCGAACTCCTTGTGGATTTACAGGACTATGACTATTCCTTGGACATGTGGAGCCTTGGTTGCATGTTTGCTGGGATGGTGAGTACCTTGTGAATTTGCAAGTTTTCATATGCTACAGGTATATGATTATCTGATGTTTCTAATTATCTTTTATTTTTTATTTTTTTGGTAGATATTCCGCAAGGAACCTTTCTTCTATGGCCATGACAACCAGGATCAACTTGTCAAAATTGCAAAGGTAATCAATTGTGTGGTTTAACGTTAGATTTTGGAGAGAATTGAGTGATTTTCACATCTCAGGAGTGTATGTTGATTCTTGACTCAGGTCCTTGGAACCGATGAATTGAATGCATACCTGAATAAGTATCAGTTAGAACTTGATACTCAACTAGAGGCACTTGTTGGGAGGTAAGCAGAACTTACATATCCTTTATAGTTGAAGAGTAAGATTAGAGCCAATGCGAATGACTGATTCTCCTCGATGACTTTGTGGGCTTTTTCCACAGACATAGCAGGAAGCCATGGTCCAAATTCATAAATGCTGACAATCGTCATTTGGTCTCACCTGAGGTTTACTTTGTTCTCTTTATTCATTTGAAAACACAAACACCTTTGTCTTTTGCTGCCATTGTTTCTCTCCCAGAGTCGTAACTTGTTTAAAAATGTAGGCGATTGATTACCTGGACAAGCTCCTTCGGTATGATCATCAAGACAGATTAACTGCAAAAGAAGCAATGGTACGTATCAGAACATTGGCTCTTTTCTTAGTCTACTTTATAGCTCAGAAACTATGTGTTGTAGTTGCCTGAATAATGAGAAAACTTAAGCTAAACTTGATGATTCTATGAAATGACAGGCTCACCCGTATTTCGCACAAGTCAGGGCAGCAGAAAGCAGCAGAATGAGGACTCAGTAGAGAGAAAGAGAGAGAGAGAGAGATGTGGTATATGAGACATTACTGTTGTTGAGGATTTTTTTTTCTTTTTTTCTTTTTTTCTTTCTTACCTATTAAAATCCGTTTCAAAAATCCATATGGATTTCTATTGAAAGGTACAAATTATTTTAAATATGGATTTATAAAAGTTTATAATGATTTTAATATTTTATTCAAGAAATCTTGGAAGTTTTTTCGAGAAAAAAAGTCAGGAAAATCGAAAACTGAAGTAAAAAGAAAATGGACTGAAATCTATATATCATTAACGTTGAAGGTTAACCTCGCTGAGCTATGGCAACAGTTTCTATATGAATAAAATCACCAAGGCCAAAAAGAATGTTGGTGTGCCCTTGTTGTCTCCAACTTGTAAAGGACTAAGGAAGGACCTTAACCACCCTTCTTTTGCAGTTACTATCAACCAAACGCCAGGTGGAGGCGGCGGCGCGTATAGCATCGTAAGGGCATCTTCAATGGAATCTTAGGAGGCTAAGATACCCTCACTTTTTCAAAGAAAATCCTTATATAAGATATTTTCTTTGAAAAAGTGGGGGTATCTTAGCATCATAAGATACCCCCATTGAGGATGGTCTAAGGAGCGTAGGAGGAGCCGGCACGTAGAAGGTTAAATTCTGGTCTGATGTCAAAGCGGTTAATATTTCGGTCCAACCGGCCGTTTTTGGAATTCAATAGACTCAATGAGGAGAAATCGTACGTCGTCGTGTTCACAGTGAATCCATCAATGGATTTGAGGACCAATAGCTTCGGAGGTATCGAGTGATCAAATGGAAGCCACGTGGTTAGAAGCCAAGTGGCACTAAGATGGTAACTAAAATGGAACTAGAGAGGATTATTATGGATGGATTAAGTGTTGTATTAATCGTTAATCTAAGAAATAATTTAGTCGTGGGGCTTAAGGCCCAGTTTAATAAACTAAGCATCCCATAGTGTTGCTTAATCAGCTTCTCAGTTCATCATACGAGAAGAGCAAATCCATTCTTCCTCAGTTACACGGTTTTGGGAGATTAGAAGGATTAGTATCACATTTCAAACATGCAAAACCATTGAGAAAAATTTCACAAAATTTTATTATTCAAAACAAACGATACAACCAAACTAGTTTTCAATAGGGAAACCGAAAAAGGAAAGAAAGCAAAGACATGCATGCATTGCAAATTAATTGAAACAAAGATGAAACTGAATCATGGAGGAGAGAGTAACACAAAATATCATCATCCGACTTGAGGAATGTTAAGGACAGGACCGTTGGGACAGTCATGGGCAGGAAGACGGAGAAGGACACGGTTACAACAATTGATGGTTAGCACACCAACCCCTAGTGGAACCAATACACAAGTCACTTTTGGATTTTCACTTTCGATTATTCTCTTTGCTTCGAGTCCACTTACTCCTTTTAGTTCTGGCCATTCCAACTTTGACCCTATTTATTTATACACACAATATTCCCAAATGTTATAAGATATCTGTGATAGAAAATATATGATTTACAAAATTTCAATTTTTCGATTCAAAGACAAAGCAAAAAGGTTTTGGATTATATATAGCTTTTTTCCAAAACCATCTAATATTTACTGTAAATTATTCGAGACATATATAGAGGATTCTATAAATTAATTGAAAATCCTGATTTTTTTTTCTCAAGGTATCAATCGAAATGAATAATTAAGAACTTGTTAATCAATGAAAGCTGTTTAAGAAAAAAAAAAAAAAAAAAACACAGTACCTGGAAACCGACGTTGACACGTAGTGCCAGTGCAGTCGCAGTTTTCACATTCGAGGAAAGGGAACGGACACTTGAAACTCATTTCGAGTCCTTTTAACTTTTTTCTTTCAGACAACAAAAAATGGTTTATATTTTGAGTTTTGACTTCTTATGATTTTGGGTACGTCTATCCTCAATATATAAGTACATAGAAAGCGATTAGGAAAATTATCATCCATTGAATTGTCGTTGACCAAGATAATCAATTTAAAACTTTTAAAAAGAATTAATGGTAATATACATTAAAGTGTATGATACGAAATCAGTATTTATTAATTACTAGGCTAGGATCCGCGAGGTGCGGCAAAATACTTATAATTTTTTAAAAAATATAATTTAAGTATTAATAATATAATTTTAAATTTTATGAAATTAGATAGTGACTAACCATGAAATTTTTTGTCTACACAATAATAAAATATAGAAATGCATTGAAAGAATAAAAATAGATAACAATTAGTGATGGTTTGAGACTTTATATTATTATAATTATTATTACATAAGTGTTACGTTTAAATCGGGTAGAGCTTATTGTATAGCAAAAATAATTTATCATCACTAACTATTTTTGCTCTCGGACAATATTTTGGTGTTAATAACTTTGACAACGGCATCGCCGGTTGAGCCATTAAATTGCAAGTCTTTTTCGTCTATAATGTCACCAAGACCCGTGAATTAGAGAGAAATATGATTTTGTAAACAGAGCAAATGAGCAATGCTAAATTACATGTATTTTCCATAGGAATATGTTAGTGCTCTCTTTTTTTATGTTATAATTATTACATTGACGACAAACTGAATTACATCTTTTATTTAGTCAACAATTATTATATTAACTGTGTTTTCTTATAATTAACCCTATATATCTACTATGTATTGACCAAATCCAAAATGAAAACAAAATTTATTACAAAAGATAACAAAAGAAAAAAAAACAAGATTTCTCTATGTTCATCGGCTCATCGTTCCAATTTTTATCTCAGCCACCGGGGAAGTAATGTACAATTACTACCATGCGATCAATAGGGTCTCGGCGTGGTTAATCCCTGAAGAGGTATAAACTACAATAAACTAAATTTGTCTTTTGCAAACCCGAGGACTACATATTGTGTTAACATTATCAACATTTATTATGTTTTCTTATAATTTGCTTATGTTTTGCTTATGTTTTTAATATTTTTCACCTAATTTTGATATAAAAAATTCATTATTATTATAATGATTTGATGGAGTTATAGCTAAAAATAATTTATCCAGAAATTCACTAGAAATAGATGTTTTAACAATATTTAATCCCATAGTTTTATTCCCTACTTTCAAATGATTAAATCAATAAGACTTTGAATAGAACATAACCAATTTTAAGTTAATTGGGGCTTGATTCCCTACCATGTCCGTCAGTTCAGATCTGCTTGCGGCCATCGACAAGGCTATAACAGACAAAGTAAATGTGCTCTCCTTGTCGCTTGGTCTTAGTTTATTAAAATATGAGCAAGACAGTGTGGCAATCGGTGCTTTAGCGGTAGGAAATCTCGGCCCAAGCTCCTCTACATTATTCAATGTAGCTCTGTGGTTCACAATAGTTGGTGCCAGAACTCTTGATCAGAAGTTTCCAGCGACGATAATCCTAGGGAATTGAAAGTCTTGTCCTGGGAAGTCTTAAAGGGAATTCTCTGCCATATCAAATGCTGCCTTTAGTGTACAATAATAATGCAACAAAAGCTGGAGTTGAAGGTTCAATTTTGTTTGACAATCTCCAATTCTACACCACCAACAACAAAGGATCCCTAGGGGAGATTTACGCAAACACGGAGTTGGACAGAACCAAACTAGTAGTAGATTACGCTCTCTTACCTTCCACCGCCGTTAGCAAACATACCGGTGATGAGATCAGGCGTTATGTCGTTTCTGATAGCTCTTCGAGCAACTATTACGATGGCGATCGAGCTCAATCTCTCGCATATTCGCATTGAATCTGATTGTCGATGCTTAGTTCAAGCTATCAACCGGTCACTTTGTCTATCAGAAGTTCATGAAGTTTTAGCTGATATTCTTCTCAGCTCTAAGTCTTTTTCTTCCTTTTCTTGTTGTCACATTCTTAGAGCAGCCAATATTGAGGCCGACTCCCTAGCAAAATTTGCTCTATATGTGTACGCTGAAAACATTTAATTTTAATGAATGTTGAGTTTCAGAAAAAAAAAAAAAAAACTAAAAACTAAAAACTAAATAAAATTTGAGGAGAAAATAAAACTCAACATTTTAACAAAAAATATAAAAGGTTAACACACTTTAATAAAACCAATATAAACCAAAATATATTTCATCGAAGTAAATGAACTCTTTAGAACCTAGTGATGTTAAAAACAATTTTTTCCTTTCGAACAAACCATTCTACTTAATTTGCATGTTTCTCTCCGGCATTGTTTTTTGATTAACTATCCAAAACGAATGACATTCATCGTCACATGTCTCAAAAGATGCCAACAAGCTTTGAAAAATGTGTAAATGGCATGAATAGTATGTTAGATTAGATCCATGTCAAACTCTACAAAAATCATATTTTCATAAAATAAATACTGCTAAAATCTTATATATAAAAATTACATATTCGGTCAAAATACATACAACTGAAACTCAATAGTAAAAATTTACATCTACCGCCAAAACCATGCATCAATCCATTTATAGCTAAACTTGAACCAATCGCCATTAAATTAAATTCAATTGCAAATTGTTTCTTTGATGTAGGTTGGATTGTAATAAACTTCAAAATTTTTTAGATATGTTTAATGAATTAAATTACAATAAGCTAAATTTATTTTTGCCAACCCTAGAACTACATATTGTGGTTAACACCTCTTCATAAACAATTATATATGTTTTGCTTACTTTTTTTTTAATTGTTCACCTAATTTTGATAAAAAAAAACAAATTCATAGTTTCCAAGAACTATTATAATGTTTTAATGGAACTATAGCTACAAATAATTTATCATTAAATTCTTAGAAATGGATGCTTAAGAAAATATTTAATCCCGTATTTTTATTTATTTCAAATGATTAAATCAATAAAACTTTGAACTGAAAACTTATAACATAAACAATTTTATATTTGCTTTCGGGATTTGTTTTCTTTGTAAGATAATCAAACTATCTTCTGCAAAATAACAAAATATCATTCATCATACAACTAACCCAAGATTGCTATAATTTTTTTTTTTTTTTTTTTTAAGAAGGACAGGAAGACTGAGAAGGACACTATTACATCAATTGAATTTAAATCGTACTGCTTTTAACCGTCCGATTTTTCGGTCTTTGAGTCAATACCTAAGAAACCCCACGTGGCACTCATCTGCTTACTTATCATATGCGCAGCGTAGTATGGTATCCTTTTTGTATTTGAATACTTGAGTCGTTGATCTACGAACGCCAAACAATCCATTAGGCTCTCCCTCGTCGATCCTTTTTGATCGTACGCTTGAGATCTTCTCCATAAACTCTTACCGTGAGGATCATCCACACTAGATAAACACAAAGCTCTAGTAGAATCACTAATAGCATACTCAGCTTGCTTCAACAACAAGCAACATTGCGCTCTGTTACTATACAACACAACCCTATCTCTTACCATATCCAATGGACACAAATCTATCCCCACTGTGTAAACCTCCATAGCTTCTTTAACTAAACCCATCTGAAACTTCTTCTTCCCTTGTTTCTTCAAAGATTTCACCATCTTTCTTCTTTCTTCAAGCTCTGTTTCACTCATAAGCTTCTCTTTCTTCTTCCTCTCTACTCTAATCTCCCATAGATTCTCTACACTTCTATGTGCCTCCTCGCTGTTCATCTTCAAGCCACTATACTTAATCTTGTGATAATCTTGTAAAACTATCTGAGCTACTCTTTCTCCAACAACTTTATCTTCCGCTAAATCCACTAAACAATGCCCTAAAACATCGATAACTCGATACCTAACATTTGAGTCTTTAAGAAGCAACAAAAGGGTATCTAAAGCAGTTGCTTTCCAATCATCAGACGATCTCGAAAGATCGCAAAGTCTCTCAATCACTTCCCTAACCTCACTAACTCTCTTTCTCCCCATTTCTGTTTTACAAAGAGTCTTTATCAATCCGACTCCTCCCGGAGACTTCCTGTTTACTAAACCTCCCCACATTTCAATCACCTTCTTCAAGAACTCTCCCTCGCAGATGCGGTCAATAGACTTACCTCGCAATGCGAAACTATTCAATAGATATAAAGACCAACATTGTAGTTGAATCCCCCATTCCTCTGCTTTTTGATTCTCTGTCTCAAGTCCACCAAGCCCTCTCGTCAACAAATCGCAATGATACTTCAACCTCTCGCTATCTTCAACCCCAAGAAAGCTTCTATAAACGTTCGTTAAACTACTAGTAGCAATCTCCATCGAAAGCTTCACGATTTCTTCTTCGAACAAAGAAACCACTTCAAAGCTCTTCTCATGGCTAGCTAAGTGACCAAGTGCTCGAGCCGCGGCTCGCTGCTCAACCCAACTTATTTTCCCTCTCAAAAGCTCCAACAAAGCGGGGACAACAAAAGCCTTTGAATCAACCGCTCTTGCAGCCAAATCTTCCTTGTTCATAACATATGATCCGATGATATGAGCTGCGTAATAAGGAATGAATATGTTCTGGTCTTTGAGAAGCCAATCACTGTTTTTGATTGACTTACGTATGAGTTTTGACATACACTCGAACAAACCGAGTGATGGGAACTCAGGATCGTCAGGCTCCGACATGGCTATGTTCCACAGACCACTCAAGACCAAGACATGGTCTTTTGACTCCGTACGAGGAATTTCTTTGAAAATCGCGGCCAGTTTCGATCTTCTACGGAAAGGGTTCGTCTCTTTCATGCTGCAGAAGAAACATGACGGGTTTGTACACTGTGGTTCATCGAATTTGAGCATCTTCTTCTTCTTCTTCTTCTTTGTTTTGCCTTTTGGTATTTCAAGAAGGTAACTAATAAATCTTGAATGAGAATGAAGACACTAATCACTCATCCTTTAAGGCCAAAAAGACCACATAAGTTTTTTCTCTTTTGGATGAAATAATTGTTAATTCCATAAATGTATTCTCCGGCGTGGAAAGTTTCTGGCGGCTCCTCTTTTTAGCCTTTAACTTTCCACTTCAAGTTCCAATGTTATGACTTCATTATAATAAGTTATAACGTAATGAATCAGAATACTGATATACATCAAGGTTTCGTGTTCTTTACCCAGAATTAGGTACAACAAAGAAACCAAAAGGGTTTGCGTTCACACAAACTCTAACCTTATGGACAAAATCCATGGTTTGTGGTTTGGACATCATGATGTTCTCAATCATAGTCCAAATATAATGACATGTGCACCAAAACGGTGACAGCTCAAGACTTTTCAATGTAAGAGAGAATTAGAGAAAGGGAAGCTTAAAAGCTTGAGTACGACACAACGCTTGTGGAAAATCATGTCTAATGTCTTGCGTACATAGTCAAGAAAGGAAATTAAGAGAAAGAAACGTTAAGTGAAATTGGATTTGCGGTCCCCTCAAGTAAAGCCAATGAAAGTGAAGAAACTGTCCCTTAGGAAAAAAGCTATGTCGTCGTTTCTACATATATCAAAGTGTTTGTTTGGGTCTCAAGAAATTGCGGCTACCTAAAAAGCCTCTCTTTAATTATCACTAATATTTGGTCTTTACAGGTAATTTAACTACCACTAACCTGAGTCATCTTCAATGTTAATCATTTCTTTTCAAAGATTCGAATATCAAGAAAGAGCCTTTTCTAGGAAAAACACTTCAGAGTTCAGACTTAGTTCTCGACTTGACATGTGTATGTGTCGGATAAAGTTTCTCAAATATCATTAAAGAAAAACCATAACAGAGTCTAGTGTTGGTTTAGTTATAATGATCACAGTTTGGCAATCGGCGTGCTTATGTGTTTTGGATTCTTGTGCACATGAATACTCCACAGAGAAAGCTCAATAAGATTTGAATTTAGAATAATAAAGGGTCTATGACTCTTATAGAACAAGAAATATAATAGCCTATGATACGGATCTAAGTCACAAAACTGTGCACAAACTCTGAAACCTATTCTGGTCTCAGAATTTTCAAAGAGCCAAATCCAAAGAGTTAGTAGAGAGAGAGAGAGAGAGAGAGAAATGAACTAGATATAGCATATTACTATCTTCAGAGAGCTTAATGGACATGGGTTTTTGGCTCATCAGGCAGGAAGCAAAGGCTCTGTACAGAGAAAGAGCTTCAGTGAGAGGTTTTACGCCTCTTGGTAGCTGGTGTAGGATCTTCTTCTGGTTTTGCTTCATCTGGTGATACCACGCCTGTTATTTCATTGATTAGCTTCCTGAAATAATCAAGCTTCTCATCGTCCGCTTCAAAGTCATCATCATTCATCTCTTTGTCATCCATTAGCAGCTGCACAACAACCATTCAAAATTTTGAACTCTTTTTCAACTCCAAACAAACGTTACAATAGGTACTGATGAAAAGAACAATTCTTACGTCTTCAAGGATAGGGTGGAATCTTAAGCTTTTAGATGAAATTGGAGAGTTGTTAGTCAAACATTGCCCACCAATTTGAGTGGGAGGAGTTTGAGGCACCAATAGATGTTCGGTATGATCAGCAGATATACATTGCACACTCGCCTCTCTCTGATTACGAGTCAAGGGATCTTCAACAATAGCACATTCCTTGCCATTTTGTACCGTAAAGTCTTGATGACAGGGATCTGTCGTTTGAGGGATCTGAGAATCCCACATCAACTGATCAACACGCTTCCTCAATCCTCTTGCTTTGCCCTGTGCCTCATCAATCTTACACATAAGCTTTGCTAGGAGATCATCAGAACAATCTAACTCAGAAAGAAGACAATCATCTTCAGTTCCATCTTGCTTGCCTGTAGCTTTGCGGCCTGTACCCAAATCTAACAAAACATCAAAGATTCATTGCCAAAATCAGTCATTTAACATCAAACAACCACCTCACTTTGAGAAAACACAACAAACTGTATATAATACATGTCTTACCTGGTTCAAGATACTGCGCTTTAACATTTACTGGCACCCGCTTGTCTGATCACAAAGTTTAAGATCATAAAGTTAGACCATTGTTTTCGAGATAAAAGAAAAGTTAAACGAAACAAAAGAAAGCTGTAATGTCGATATACCAGCATAAGAGAAAAGATTATGGTTAGACATATAAGCTGCAACATCTGTCGTCTCTTCTACTCGTTTCCTTCTTCCTCTTTTAAAAACACTCCTACTTTGAGAATGTTCACGAAAAGGAATAGATTTCCCATAAAATCCTTCCAATTTCGCCTTCTCCAAATTAAATTGTTTAGTCAAACCGCAATCTTGAAGTACTTTATCATACACTCTAGCTTGAGACACAAACTCCTTAACCTTGAGCTCAATCCATGTGGATCGCCACTGTATAGCCTTGGTCAATCTCTGCCACCGATCATCCGTCTTCTTCTTATTCAAACCCTCAGTCCCATCACGCAGTGGGTAATCTTTGCTTAAAATAGACTGAGCTTCATCTCCATCACCAAAACCAGAATCATCAGCATCACGAGAACACATTGAATCACCAAAAGAACTCGAAGAAGAAGACGCTTCAGACAGACCCTCTTCTTCTCCTTCCTCTTGAAACTCATCATCCCTCTGATTTACACACCCCTCGATATCAACTTCTACGTCCTCCTCTTGAAACCCAACTCCATTACCAACATCATCATCATCAGCTTGCTGCTTTCCAGCACAATCTGAGATATCGATATCAGATCTTGACTTTGGTTTACGCGCCATTAAACCCCTCAAACAAAAAGCTCTCAACTTTCTTCTTCTGCAATCGAAAAAAAACAAAAAAAAACAAAACCAGACAATGAGATTAGAACCGAAAGCTTTCAACTTTCATGAAATCTAATCTGATAAAGCAGTGAAATTGATCTTACTGATCTCAAAGGCTAACTAAAGAGTGGTTCAAATCACATAACCGAGAAAAAGGGTAAAGCATGAAACTTTCGCGAAAATTAAGTGATTTGGTGATATGAGAAGATAATTACACAAGCCCGAAAGAGATTTGATGATCAGAATCAGTTAGAAATAATCCAAATTTCTGGGAGAGTCTTAAACCCTAAACCCCTATGAGACAGAGATAGAGGGAGAGAGAGAAGAAACAGAGAAGAGAGAGATGATGATGAGACTCACCAACTATTTTTCCTGAGTAGAGACCACCGATTACTGAATCCAAACAGATTTTTTTGTTTGTTTGGGTTTTAATCCCAAATTATGTACTTTGCCAATTGTAAATTTTTTTTTTTCGTTTATAGTTTTATATATGTGAATACTTGTTTATACAAATATTTTAAAATGATGGGTTTATTAGTTAAATGAGAATATTTTTTTCTAAACTGATTTTGTAAATATTCTTTTTCCCTTTTTGGTTTCTTTATTTTCCTTTTTTCTTCTTATTTTTCCATATTTTATCTTTCTGTTTTTATTTTTGGGGAGTATTTCCTTGATACAGTTTTTGACAGCAAAGAGCAATCAATTCATTTCTGCCAAAAAAAATTCAAAATTTTACTAAATTGTTTCCTTTTTTCTCTTGGTTTGAGTTTGACAAGTTCTACAAGTTTTGTATCCATTTTTAGTATTTAGGAATTAAAAGTTAATCATTCACCTAATTTGACGCCAAGGATTAAACAGAAAAGACAATATCTTTGTTTCTATTCATATAGGTTACTCTGAAAAGAAACAAAAATCGATTGATTGATACAAACTTTTACATGTATAAGATAGAAGAAACCAAAACACATAATATATAAAATACAAACTAAAACAAAACGAGAAGTTTCATAAATTTAAACGAAAAAATTGGCATTATTTACTAAACAATGAAGATCATTAAGATATGTCAAAAAAAAAAAAAAATGAAGATCATTAAGACAAGTTTGGGATACTGTTTTTTTGAATAAGACCAAACAGCTTTTGTATGAAAAAGAAGAGATTTAAATAAGGTACCAAGTTTTTGTTTATATAGGTTGTAGTTCTTGCTCAGCGACTATGGCTTCATCTACTGGTTTGTATTGTATTGATGTTTGTTTCCGTTTCCATATTAACCAAGCTCCATAAGCTGATAACCCGATAATTACAGCGATGATCCCAATCGCGATCACGACGATGTTATTCCTCCTAAAACCGAAATGAAATGACTATTTTCTTGAAACAATTGGAGTGATGATCCTATTTTGTAATGTATGGTTTAGAATGAATGGCGTACCGTTTTCTTGGAGGCTCGAATTTGTAATTAACCAGCTGATAGTCCCCAAAGATTTCAGGAAGCTTGATTTGATGATTGGTAAACCGAGAAACTATACTCTACGAGTAAGAATAATGAAAACTTAGGAGGATAGAATCAAGAAATGTAAGGAGAAGTTAGTTCTAAAATCAAATACCGTTGCTGTGACATTTGAAAACCAAGTAGTAGGTTCAGGAGGGATGACAACCATTCTGATGAGAGTGTTGTTTCCTTTGGAGGTGAGATTCGATAAATTGACCTGAGATAGAGACATTTTCACATTTTCCTTACTCAATAATAGCAAAATTTTACTGCTTAAAGCTTACAAGTTATTGTGTGTTTATCAACTTGGCTCACCTGAAAAGATTTGACATCAAGCTCCTTGGAGAATAACTTGGAGAGCTCTTCAATTCGAGGTTTCAGATAGGATGAATTGACTGTTAGTTGAATATCAAGCTTTATTTGACCAATTTGAATTAAACCTGAGGAATCAAGCACCATAAACATCAGGAGAGACACAGAAATAGTTTTTTCTTATTTTAAAAACAGTTCGTAGATTCCAAGACGAAAGAGTTTAGATGAATCAACAGCTGTCTTACTAACCTGGGAGATTGCTTGATGAATTTTGGGATGGATTTGAGTCATTTGAAGGCAAAGAGGCAGGTGGTGGTGCACCATCGATATGAAGCCTATCCGATAACTCTGAACAATTGGTTCTCCAGAATCCAACCTTGGAATTCTCACGATCATACACAACAAGTGTATTGCGAACCACAATTCCTGATAACATAAGATTATATGTTACCAATAAAATGAAAAGTTCTTAAATGAAAGTAGCCAAAATAAGAATATAGTGATGATATATTTTTACCTCCTAGAAGAGTTGTATGATCTTTTCTATTTGGGAAAACACCGAGACAATATGCGCCATGCACCTTGGAATGCTTTGTTGAACAAAAAATTAATCACATCAGTAACTTGTTATCAGCTGCTGATTTGTTGCTAAACAAACCACCAGACACAGAGAGACTAATATATACTAATGCTAGCTATAGAGAGAAAATATAACTTCTTAAGAGATATAAGTGCTGAGTTACTTACTCGGAACATGTAATTTTCAGGGGACAACAGCCACGATTTCCCAGTTTTAAATAGCATCTCAACTGATGGGAATATCTTTGAAAGTTCAGAGACATCATTACTTGAGCATAAACCAATCTAATAGTCAGTCACTTCCCTTGATTGAAAAGTTATGATATCACAAAGTTTGCAAAAATGATAATACCTTGCAGCGACATGGAAGCAAGTATCTTTAAAATTTGGATCAGGACCATCAATCTGCTTTAATGTGGAAACTTCTCTCATTACCTGCAATACAACAAGATAAAAGCGATATTTAAGAAAAGGTACACAGGAACAGGTAACACTTATGAGGTATTAGCATTATTTGAAAAGTCTTACAGCTTCCTCAAATGCTGAAAATGCTGCGTCTGGAAGATAAGCATAAGTTGTACCACTGTCTAAAACGGCGCCATGTTCTCCGTCAAAGACTCTTGAGTTGAGAGACAACTGCTTCCCAGCAACACGTATCCCCGTCAAATCTATATTGTAATATGGACTGTCGCCATCCCGAAACTAGAGTAAATGTGTGAAAGGTATTAAACGTATCCGTTAGGATTATACAAGATCCCATCCATCAATCAGACAAACAGGTCCCTTGGAAACATACCTACGATCAGGGTCTGAGTCTGTGAATATCATATCAGATGGATACTCAAAACCTCCAAGAATCATCGAACCTCCACCAATATCCATCCCTCCATAACACAAACCAAAAGAGTTGCTAATCAAACCTTTATCCACCAACTGATCAACAAGACTAAGATCCCCTTGGCCTAATCCGATAATGCCATCAGCGCGTTGGCTATAAAGATCACCGGTTTCCACAGTTTCACAACCGAAAACAGCTCGTTGAGGTGTAAGCTGGCTTTCATTGCCAAATGAAATAAGATCTTCTGCAAGCACACCTTTACTACTACTGTGCTCAGCATACTCTCTCTCGTAAACACATTGCTCCTTATCATCGTCACAATTACAATCCATGTTACACTTCACAGGTTGATAAGTACTGGACAATTCTGGTTGAAATTTCGGGTCCTGATCAATGACCATTAACAGAAAAAAAAAAGCTTCAAAATTTGAACTTTACACGAGACAAGACAAAAATTAAAACTTTCGTTGTTTAGAAGGAGATTTGAATAGTTTTGAGCATTACCTGGTGTTTGCCACATTGTTCACAATCAAAACAAGGAACATAAGTAACAGTACTCCCAGAATCAACAATGAGGGCAAACATTTGCGGAGGCGTACCAATCCAAAGCCGTGTCGTGTAATATCTATTACCAAAACATTTGACAAACCATTCAACGAAAGCAATCAGAGATTCTACACGGACTCAGATCGGTACAAATGCGAATTACTCACCCGTTACGAAGAAGATCGTCGTAGAGTCTCATGCGAGAGTGAGGCAGTGATTTTGAGTCGGCTCCGTTGAGTTTCCGATGGGGAATAGATAAAGATCTCGAAGAAGAATTACGTTCAGAGAGAAACAATGGGAACACCATTGGACGTCGTGATCCAGCGGCAGGAGATTGATGGATGATGTTTTCACCAGCTGTGATTGAATAGAGAAGAGAGAAATATATAAGAACTGAGACCGCAGCGCCGATTGAATACAGCGCCATTTTGGTCGCCGGCAGAGTTATCCGATGTGATGATTTAACCGTACCACCGGAGAAATTTGAAAGGGGAAGAAGGAATAAAGAAGCTACAGTGAGAGAAGAGGAGCCGAACGTAACTTTAGATCTACGAAGAACCAAAGCCGCTTTTGCTTTGAGACAAAAACTAAAGTAACTATGAAACGACGTAGTTTTTGTGTTTTAGTTTTAATTTAGAGTAAAATTAGTAAAAATATGTATACTAATCTGTATACCAACCTTCTACAATAATATGTATACTTTTGTTGATTTTGACAATGTACTAATCACGATTACTATACTGTAGGCGCTATTAGATAACATTTCTTGTTATCCTACTTTTTGTTGACTAACTCTGTCTAGGTCGCAGTGTATGGTACAAGAATGTCTCACTAATTTGATTTAATATACAACTAACTTGTTTTTTTTATAAGTTTTGGTCGTTCTATCATCATTCATCAACACCACTGTAACCAGTAAATGAAATGATTTCAGGATTTTTAAGATTATTCCATAAGAAATTTTAATTCCTCTGTACATTTTTGTTTTGTTTTTGTTTTTAATTTAACCATAAACCCCCGAAAAAAGAATACTCTTTGGAAAATCCCCAAATCGATTCGAGTTCTTCCTCCTCCTCCTAAACCCCAAAACAAAACAGAAAAAAACTACTACTCAACCTTAGGAGTTATGATTCCACAATCCCTGTAACCTCCGACAACGAATCCACCACCGCCATTTCCACTTGTTCTCTGCATCTCCGTCATGTAACTCCTCACTTCAGCTTTAACCATCTCCCTCACCACCGTCATAAACTCACCTCTACGTCCTTCTCCTCCTCCTCCTCCTCCTCCTACTCCTCTCTCCTCTACATTAATCTTCATCTGACTCTCGAATCTCGGAAACATCAACGTGTTGTTGTTGTTGTTGTTGCTGTTGTGGTTGTGGCTAGAGCTCGTGTTCTCAGCTCCAGGCAGTGATAAACTCAACGAAGTAGGCGGATCATCCGATGACGAAGTCATTTCAACCGGTAACGGCTGCGGAACCACCGCGAATCCGCCGCAAATCGGCATTGGTTTAAAAAGCTGAGCCACCGGAGACGAGGGAGACGGAATCGTGCTGGAATCACTAACAATAGGACTCTCAGGACTCATGTAGAGACCAGTATCCACGGGAGCGAAAGCAGAATCAAAGCTCACAGATCTCCTCTTCTTCGGCCGATCCTGATCATCCTCCTCCTCATCCGCCGTCATCGTCGTCGTCGCCACGCCTCCGCCGCCGCATTTCCTCTTAAGCGTGGAGTTCCAGTGGTTTTTGACGGCGTTATCGGTACGACCGTTGAGAAGACGAGCAATCGTAGCCCATTTGTTACCAAACTTAGAACGAGCGGTTACAATGGTCTCGTCCTCCTCAGGAGAGAAAGGACGGTGCTCAACCTCCGGTGACAACTGGTTACACCAACGTAACCTACAGGATTTACCAGATCGACCTGGAATGGATTTGCTAATCGCCGACCAATTCCTCGGTCCGTATTTCTCCACCATCCTCCGTAGCTGCTCGTCTTCTTCTTGACTCCACGGACCTTTAACACGATCCGCCATTGATGATGATAAACACACAGATCTTTATATTTTGGTTTGTTTCGGTTATGAAGAAGAAGAAGGGGAAGGTGGAGGAAAGTGAAGAGAGGAGAAAAAAGGTATTTATAACAGAGAAGAGAAGGAGGGATAAGTAACCGGTAACCGGTAGAGACGGTGGAGAAAGTCATGGACCTAAAGGGGGCACCGCTTCTTCCACGCAAGCGGTTTTGAAAGTATTTGGGATACAGCTGTAGGTTGGACACGTGTCATGATCTACAGGCTGCCTCTGTTTTGTTTATAGAGAGAGAGAGCGTGTGATACAGTGGTGGGGTTTTTGATTAAGAAGAGGAGGAGAGTGATGGAAACGCGCGTGAGAAAGAGAGTGGGATATATTGGGAAGTTAAAGGCGACAAAATCACGGAAACCTACAAGGAAAGCTCTGATATTATTCGCACAATCTGAGGTGAAAAAAAAAATTAAAAATATGTTTTTTTGAATAGTATTTGTTTTTGAAAATAATAATAAAAAATATCTGAGGAAAAAAAAGAGGGGATAGATAACGGTTAGGTTTGGCCGTTTGGGTAAAGACAGTTTTATATGCAAAATTAAAATTTCTGACTTTTTTTTTTATTGACTGGACAAAGCCAGCCTGTATACCAATATTTTGTACCTTTTCTGATATTCACCCTTTTTTTTAGGATACAGAAATACGTTTTTAAAAAAATTTTAAATATTGGAGGGTAAAATTTTGATTACAGTTTTTTCTTTTAATTAGTTGGTTTGGGTTAACTGATTTTAAATGATATTTTTGACTGGGTGAAACTGTATTTTTGTAACTGTTATTACTTATTATAAATAAATTTGATTTATTTAATTTTTTGTCTATTAATTTTGTTTGGTTTAAAAAACCTGAACAAAATGTTCAAACTGACTAATGCTACGTTTTAGTAGACTATTCATGTTTCATACTCTTTTTTTTTTAATTTTTAATTCTTTATTTTGTTTGAGATTACAAAACGTCTTATTTTTATTTTTTGAATTGCTTTAATAGTTGAAATTATGGAGCGGGGGCACTACTGAAATTTTTTAAAAAGTGTTGCATACAGTTTTATTTTAACTAAATTTTCTTTTTGACTGGTTTAAACAAGATTTGTAACTGTTTTGAGCGACGAAAATATGTTTTCTCATTTAACTAATTCATTTAGTTTTTCCTAAACTGAAAAATGGTAAACCGCCTGATGCTACAATTTTGGGATGTAACGACAAATTTGTTAATTTCATTTTTCGAAAATATTGTGGTTCAGTTTTTTTTTGTGTGAATGACGATTTATAAAAAAAAAAAAAAAGGTGGTACAATGGTACGTTCTAAAATGTCCGGATTCAAAGTCACAATAAAAGGAAACTACATTATGTATATGATTAAGATTTTACGATTTAAATTTTAAATATATATTCTCTGTTTCATAAACTTGTTACAAAGAAACGGCCACCAAAGATAAAAAGTAAGTGGTCGGAATCAAATATTTTTAAATAAACAAATTGAATGAGTTTGATGACATGGACAAAACGACAAAATAGTGTTTGGCCAATTGAATTTATATGATATTCATTTAAAAAAAAAATCCAGGCTGTAATCCTTCAACAAACAACTAACTGTCGTCCATCGAGCCAGGAACTGCCACGTGTCAGTTCTTTTGGACTGTTGTGAAAGGAAAAAAAAAAGAAAAAAAAGTGGTGTGTGTATAAGTGTGTAACTGTCTTCTCTAACGTAGTAACGCACTCAAACGTCATTTGCACCTTCTTCCCAACCTTCCTCTGAACGGTTTCACAAACTATCTATCATAAGGAAAAAATATAACAACTTTTATTATTCTTTTATCATAAATTAAAGTATCTTTTTCCGTATTTTAGGTCAAATTAGTTACGTATTGTAATGTTATTTTATACCGTTTTTAACTATTTTTGTATGTAGTTTATCGCTTTTTTGCTATCGGTTAAAAGTTTTGTAATATTTCAATTGAATTTAGTAATGTGTCATTCTTTTTTGAATAAAAGCTTGTGTAACGTATCAGTCAATTTCAGTAATGTGTCATACTTTTTTTGAACAGAAAATGTGTGTAACGCATCAGTTGAGTCGAGCTTAGTAATGTGTCATACTTACTTTGAACAAAAAACGTGTGTAACGCATCACTCGATTTCAGCAATGTGTCATACTTACTTGAACAGAAAACGTGTGTAACGCATCACTCGATTTCTACAATGTGTCATACTTACTTGAACAAACACGTTTTGTAACGTTTAATATGTTCGATCAAAAGATTTCTTGAAATTAGGATTTTTTTTTGTTTGGTTTTGATATGATTTCAGTTCATGGAAGTTTTCGTTTTTATGGTCTTATCTTTGTATTTTATTTTAATTTAATATTAATAGTTTGGTCAGTTTTTAAAGGATTTTGAATTCCAAAAATGGTCTTAAATGTTATAAATAAAATTATGGATGACAAAAAAAAAATGCTACTTAGATTAATTGAATTTTCAACCAAAGAAAAATAAGGAGTTTAACTTGATTTAGATACTGTTTTATTAGTTTATAATTTTTTTTAAAAAAATAACTGACGCAAGATTAATAAATCAATCCGTATTAGTCTATATAAACTTTTTTGATACCTCTACTAGTCTATAGTAAACTGTCAAAATAAGCAAATAGTATATGAGTTTCTCTATTCATCATCATCTGAAATCTCTCATATTTACTTACTAATAATAGAGAGACTCGATATATATACTAATAGTTCGTGTCTTAGATCCATTTTCACTTTAAAGATCCAACACTTTGATTTTGGGTTAATGTAGTAATAATCGACACGTACTTGAGCTGTACACCGAGCTTAGATTTGAGAAAATGCACGTGAACAATTTTGATGAACACATATCTGAGATGTGGGGGATGATGATATATTAGTTCCAATAATGTCTGTCTAATCTTATAAAAATGTTGGTAATTAAAAAATTTGGTAATACGTTGTTGTCAAAAAGGAACAAGACGGTGCACGATGCGAAATATATAAATTATATAAAAACTATACTTTGCGAGACCTAATAAATAAACTATATAATCTGATGTTTGTTGTTACGATCCATACTTCGATTGTCGGATTCGTTCTGCTGATTTTTGATTATTTTACTTTCGTAAGGTTTGCTAATTTGCTTAACACAAAAAATCGTATGATCTATTTAAGATAATACAATTAACTAACACACGGTCGGAGAGATTAGTCGGTGTGACTGAGTTCATTGTGTCATTCGTGTTTCATCATCGACAAAACTCAAATTCCCCTATAGATCTGTTTCGTGGAGTTTTATATCAATTAAGGGTATAATCTTGTCGGATATATAATTAAATAAAAATCATATACGCGTAAATGTATTTTTGCCAAAACATATGCAGCCAAAAAAAAAAGAAAAACATACAGTACTTAGGTTATTTGGCATCTAGTGATTGAATTATTAGAACGAGATTTATATATAAAGTTGCCGCGAGTTATATAATGCGTTGGTTCTTTCACTTTTATAAGCTCTCTTGGCACTTTCACGTCATATTATCCATATGATTATATTTTATGCAAAAATTTTCACTTCGTAGATCAATATCGTAAACTTTTCGAAAATAAATCATAAAATTCATAACTATCAATATCAAAGGATATTAAGAAAGAAAGAAAAAAAACAAGAAAAAACCTACAATATATCAAATGACAAAAGTACCCATAAGCTTTTTCACTTTTCTGACCGACTGCTTTCAACACTTTGAATTTTATTATTTTTAGCCGCTTATTCGCCAAGTAAAAGACATTCCGTACAACTACAACATCAACAACAACACGTATTGTTTTTTCTTTCATCTGAGACACTCCCCACGTGTATGTAATCTCATGCACGTGTGCTTCTAAACCGAGTCAATTATTAAACCGGTCAGCATAAGAAAATGACTTACACTAAATGGGCTAATTTAGTTACTACTGGGCCCAAAACTTGTTGATACATTACGTCTATCATCATCATCCAGTAGGACTGTGCAAAATGCTTTTGTTGCCTATCATTTTCTTTTGTATTTTTAGGCTTTATTACTGTGCAGGAGGACTCTGTTTTTTTTTCTCTTTATAGTCGTCTTAGCTGTCTAGTAATTAATATCGAAAAGATTAATGTTTGCAATTTTTTTCAATGTAACTCATAATCAGAAATGATGACGAAAACTTTGGTTTTGTAATGAATGTGATGAATCGATGTCCCACCAAGTGGATAGATAGATCATTGAAAGTTTTAAGATGTTTAAAACATCCAAAGGCCGGCTCATATTGAGGTCTGGCCTGTGCTCAACATAAGATATTAGACAGAACTTTCCAATTTTTTTTTCAAGACTTCATTATCCTAGCTGCCTGAAATTTTCAGTTTCACATTTGATTTTTTTACTCTAAATTTCTAGGGTTTGAAGAATCTCACATTACGTTAGAAATACTAAAAAGTCAAAGTTTTTTAAATTATTATTGTTATTATTATTAGAGTACTTAAAAAGATCCGTCCTAAAGCTTAATCTCAAGTTGTCCTAGTTAACATCGAATGTAATACACTGACTTTTTTTCTTTCTTTAACCGTTGTGGTACAGGAGAATAATGTGATTTATTGACTTTTTTCTTTGTTTAACCGTTGCTCAACAGCAGAACAATGTGATATACTGACTTTTTTCTTTCTTTAACCGTTATGTTACAGCGAAACACTGATTACTTTTCAAAACGATAAAATTGTAACGCCTTCATTTAAATATATTTGTCTTAATTAAGGGAAATATTAATTCTTTTAAAATTTACAATTTATGTCTTTAGAATTTATAATTGGTCCCATTTATTTAGTGTTTTTCTTTCTTTCTTTCTTGAAAATATTTAATATAAAAATTTGCTTATAGTTCCGAGAAACCCAAAAGATCTCTGAGATCACAGAATAAGAGTATTATGAGTGGTTTGGTTTTGGTACATTCACTCTAGTTCAACCAAAAAGCTTCTACATTATTTTCTTTTTGGATCTCTTCAATGCTATTTGGTCCTCTGTGACAACAAGACTCTTCATGGAAGGTATTTATTTAATGTTTTGACATGACCTAGCAATGGCAACAAGTAGATAAAGTGATATGTGTACGTATGTTATGTGTATATCTCAACCTGTTTGCTTTTCACCACAACTGAATAGCACACAAGTACTTGGACCAACCCAAGTGTTGGTCTCTCTGCATTTCCTCTCAAATCAAACCCCCCCAAAAAGGACCAAACTTAAATATTTAAAAAGTTGAATAGAAATAAAATTATGGAGGAGCTAACAAACTCTCTAGTTGTCCAACACTACTGATCGTCCAACAAACTCAATAGTTGTCTCTCCAATTCAAAGGACAATGTTCCTCATATCTGTACTAAGTAACAAACCAATAATGTATGTGATGTTTTAGATCATCAGTACCAGTAAGGTAATGATAATGCTGATGCATTTGAAGATCTAATCTTTGACTTGTACCTTTCTATGCAAATTGCAGAGGCTGTGAGATTAAATTATATCATCACCAACCATGAAACAAATAGATCATAATGAAACTCAATGAAAAACATCTCTATTTTTCCATAATCAAATAACGAAACCGTCGAAAGGTACACCATTTGAAACCGTCCATAAACACATGAGCCAAATAAGACACATAAGGTTTCTGAATTAACATAACCGATAATATGTAAACCATGGAAACAGATTTTGATGAGTTGTAGACATTATTAGCGAGGACTACTACTAAGCACATCGAGAAACATTCTGTTTATTGAAGACAACCTCATCTGCTGCTCTTGAACTCTTCTCCTCTTGAGTAAAGGCTCTTGAGATGGTGAAGACGACACAGAAGCAGAAGCAGACACAACCCATGACTCATTTGAGCTATCAGAGCTGAACGATGCATCGAACACACCGATGGGACTAGCGGGTTGTTGCATCCAGTTCATCATCCTTTTCTTGCTTGGACTGTGGTCTAACACTAACTCATAGCATTTATTTACTTTCTCCTGTAAGTACGAATGATGATGGAATCAGTTCTTGACCCTTACACTAATCAAACATTGGGCATATGATGTTCCAAAGATAGTTACTATGAGAGTCAAAAGCCACATACCTTATTAACTTTGAGTAGAGTCATGAGCTGAGATTGGTATTCAGCTTCGTCACACATCTTGAGATCTCCAATGACAGAGACCATTATTGCAGTGGCCAACACAGAGGGACTAAAACTCAGAAACCTCGAATCTGAAAGATCCAAGAACAAACGTTTAGAATCCAAGAGAGATCCAAAATGAAACCTCAAGAAGTCTAATCTAATAAAAGAAGCATTACCAGGAACAATAGAGAGCAACAGAGATTCACATCTAGTCAAGAACTCCAATTGCTGGTGAGATTTAAAGCTGTATCGTCGAATAATGTGATCGAAATACGAGATTGCAGTCACAGGATGCATCCTCCAATCAAGAGTAGACAGGACAAGAAGCTCCATCCTCTGTATAGTCTTAGCCTCAAAGACATATCTCGCCTCTTCCACCTTGATTCAAAAAAGAGCAAACTCAAAGTATCAAAATCGGCAATTTGAAGCTGACATTACAAGAAAGAGAAATCGAATCTGAGAAAGTTTGAAGCTTACCTGAAAATCTAAGAGTAAAGGGACTCGGATCTCTTCAACCTTAGCAGCTAAAGACAAACAAGCCACAGCTGTAAGCTGAGACATCCATGGCTTATCAGTCTGAAACTTCCTGCTAGTAATAAACCTATCGAAATAGTTAACAGCTAAAAGAGCCGTCAACGAATTAAACCCATAATGAGATTTCACTTTAAAAATCCAAGCAAGTGCCTTTTCACGACACAGAACCAGAAACTCATCACCTAAGATTTCGTCATAAAGACTCGGTTTTAACTCTTCTTCTTTCGAAATCAAACTCGACAACTCATCGTCATCCCAAAACATATCATGATCAGACAAACCCAGTTGTAAAAACGGAAACTTTCTAACACCCTCGTCGCACAAATCTACTACTTGTTGCTGTTGTTCATCTTCCTCAAACTCACTCTGTTCCTCACAGAAAAGACCATCAAGAACAACACAATACGGTGCGTTTTGACTCTCTTCTTCTTCTTCTAAAGCCATAACGAAGGAGATTGTTTTGTGTTCTTCCTTTGCTCATTCTACAGCCATTAGAGAGAGTCTCTCTGGATTCTTTTACAGTGTGAGAGAGAAAGAGAAGAGAGATATAAAAGAAGTGAAAGACAAATGCCAAAGAAAGTGAAGGGTTTTATTTCACGCTTGTCCTCTTTTTTTTTGTCTTTTTTATTTTATTCTTAAAGATTTTGATTTTTCCTAATTTATAATTTATTTTATTTTTTATTGTCTCTCTCTATTTTTTTTGTCTTTTATTATTCGGATGTTTGGCGCGCGAGAAAATTGATGAAACCGTACTTCTTCTTTGTTTTATTCACAGAAATGGAAAATATATCTCCATAATAATTAATTTAAATAAATGAACTTACAGTATAAATAATCGAATTTAATTACATTGTTGGGTATTAATTAAAAAGCGTATTATTACCAAAAACGTATTGAACGACGCGCTTAATGCATTTGTAGTGACACGCTTTTGATCCCTGTACGTCCGATGCGAGTAAAGATGCGCTCCGTTTGAGCGTTTGATTCACGCGCAAAGGATATGGTGTTGGCATATTCAGTGGTGGATAAATGCGTTGACCATTAATTGTATTTGTCACCTTTCGGTTTTGAGCATCGATGATTACAAGTAAAGATTATTATTTATTATTTATTTTTTGGTCATTAGTACTTTGATTTCGTATATTAGTATAAAAACATTTATGTTTATAATGTATAGAGATTTATAATTACTTTTTGGATAAATTGTTAGTTCTTACATAGAGTGAAAAGATTGTTGGAAAACTTAAATACAAAATTGATGAGTAAATCTTTTAATTCTTCCATCAGTTTTGATTTTACCTTTTTGGTGAATTTATTTATGTTATACGGAAACAAAGATTTCAAATTGATTTTATTTTTCTTGTAAAAAAAAAAATTCAAAGATTGATATAATCATAAAAAAATCACTCGTGGGGTCAGTTATGTCAGAGAAAAATCTACGTGGACGAATGGGAAGCTTTATATGGTCAACGAGCTGACATAAACATAAGAAAAAAGCAAAACATAAAACATTATTTTTAATTATTACGATTAATTAAATCTTAAAAAAGACCTCGTTCTTTTAAAAAACGCTCGCGCTTTATTATTAATTAAACTAACTAATTAAGTTTTTTTTACCAGAAATTTTTACCCGTTAAGATATTAGCATTTGATTTTTTAATTAACTTTTTGTATGTATTCATCCTATAAAGTTTTTTTTTTCTTCTTTAATATAGTATAATAGCTTGATCTTGATGAGCATTTCAATTTTAATTCTCACTGCTTTATATGCTTAAAAAGTTGAAAACTAAAGAAGACAGATAAGAACCCAGAAAGCAGAGAGATTAAAAACGTAAAAATGTATTCGTTGTTTTGGCAAAAAAAAAAAAAAAGAGTATGTACCAAACTTTAGCGTTCAAGATACATAAATGCAACTTATAGATATATCATATAATTGAGTTCTATTTATATTACTAGTTGTGGAACAAACATTATAGTTAGTACTACAAAACAAAATGTATATAAAATAATAATTATAATTCGGTTTTGTAAATATTTAATGCGGAATAGTAAACTGAAAGTATATATTTGATGAGTCGGTAAATAATATTTATACATGTTCTCTATAGTTTTCTTATAATATAGCAAAAAGTGGTATAAGAAGAAGAACAGTGAATAGAATCTGTTGTCACGTTTTACTGAGTTCCTACTACTAACTACAGCCCTAGACGACGTGGTTAACAAAGCAAAACAATTGTTACTTTTTTTATTTTTATTCTTTATCGATTGTGAAAGAAAGCAATGTGTGTGTGGTAAAAAAATGAAAAAAATGATAAAAGCAAAAGACAAAAAATAAATAAATAAGGGGGAATGGGGAAAAAGTAAATCACGAGAGGAGGAAAGGTAAGGCCATTGGTAACAAGCGGGAGATGAGAGAGTCTCTGAGATTTGTACAAAGTTTAATAGCGACTTCTCATTTCTACATTTTCATTTTCTTTTCTTTTTTTATATAAAAGAAAAATTCCTTATCATGGCTTTTTAAAATGTTGTCTGATTCGTTGTCTTTATAAGAAAATATTCCATTTGTTTTATAATGTGTTATTGGTTTTTGTAACGGTAGATATGTCATTTTTACTTACCAATCCCACAATTTTATGATTTTTTTACTGATGACTTTTGCTACATGAGTGATACCGTTTTCATTTTAATATAGAACTTTGAATAAATAAATTTCGTCTCGCCTATTTCACAAATTTTGTTTATGTATTTCGTTTGTTTAAGATATATGATTTTTCTTATCAGAAGACAAAAGAAAATCTTACCAATTGCACAATTTATAAATTTTTGACTGATGATCTTTGCTATATAAAGATTTTAATTATACCATTTTACAGAGTTTTTACTATAGATACTATAAGATAAAAATCTGAAAATATAAATATTGCCTTGTTTACTTCGTAATCGCAAATTCCATTGATGTATTTTATTTATTTAATAATTTCTTTCCGTTTATAATTAGGTTTATGTTGATTTTATATAAAAAATTTGTAAATATAGTTAATAAGTTTTGCTCTAAATTTTTACAATTTTTTGAGAACTAGTGTCTTATACTAAAACAAAGAGAGCAAAATGAATAGTATAAAATGAGAAATAAGGAAAAACAAAACAAAAATGGGGGGTTGTTGTAATCTAGAGGGAGACAAGAGCTATTAAAAATAATGGTCCAAGAATCCGGACGATAACCTTTTTATTTAATGGACTCAACCAAGGTATCATGCATCAAGATAAGAATTGAGATATTGGGGTTAATAAAAAAAAAACAAAGTGAAGTTTTGATTAGATTAATACAAGAAGGATGTGTGTGTGTGCAAGTGTTGTGTTGTGTTGTGTTTTGATTAGATCGAAGAAGAAGAAGTGTGTGTTTTATTTTTGGGTCATAATTAATAATGGCGTCTTGTCTGCCAGAGAGACCACCAACGCCGTACGCTAACTTTCGATCTTCTTCCTTCTTCCTACACTAAGGCTGGCACTATAGTAATATTTTTATTTTTTTGGATGTTAGGTGTCACCCATTTACTATTTACTGTATAAATGTATTGGCCTAGCTTCGTATCCTATTCCCTTATTGTGTTTTGTGCTTCTTCTTTCTTTATATTACTTGACGAGGTCCATGCGTTTTTGGTCTTCTTCTTGTTCATTTTAGAATGTAAAGACTTATGATACACCTAACGTAGTTCATACACTGTTGAGTTTTAGTTCATATTGGGTCAAAGAACGTTACATGTAAGTTACAATCTTGGTCACATAGTCTTCTTTTCTGTTTATTTGTTTCGTGCGTGTCAATATAGAACTTATGAATGAAGTAGTAAGACAGTATGAACAAGAAGACTAAGCTAGTAACTTCCATGTTCAATTGTTGAGAGTTAAAAATTTTTAACTCGTGTAAAATAATATAGCCAAATAAATCCATTCATTTTTTTAGTTGATATTCATTTGATTTTTAGGCGTGTCAGTAAAGTATTTGTTTTCACTAATATTACGTTAGCATATTGTTTACTAGTCTTAATATATGGTTTAGAATCTATTTAAGATCGGTTTACTTGAAACCTAGGATTTATCTGCGTTAAGAAAATAAAACCATATCTTATAAAAATAAAATGTCTAGTTCACTCAATATATCCCTAACATTTATTCAAAACCAAAATATATTTTCGGACATATCTAGATACTAGTCTCTTTCTTGTGGATTAATCTCTCATCTATTTAATCTAAATTATTTACAGTTAAATTTTTTTTTTACATAATAGTATAATTTCACCATTTCACACTTCCAATGTTTAGCAATTTGGATATACACTTTATTACACTAGTAAGCTAGTAAGCATGATGATGATAAAAAAATGTTAGGTAGGGGGGTAACATTAGATTATACCAAAGCTCCAATCCAAATAAAATCCGTTAGATATAGATATAATTCAAGATTCTTCATCATTTTGGTACGTTTCTATCATTATTACATAAAAATCTAACATCATTACCACCAAACCTAATTACTGGCACCAGTTCATAATAATAATAATGCCATATAGTCTTCTTAACATACTAAATGACTACGTGTGTCAGAATTCTTTTGAATCTCAAAACACAAATTTTTGAGTCAAACCCTGAAAAAGCTAAACCGTTTATAGCACTCGTCACTGTTCTTCGTATAAGTGAATTATTTCCCGGTTGGAATATAAGAGACAACAAACATATAAATAAGTATAAAGACTACAGTATTGTTATGTATCTTTGTAATGATAATTCATTTTGTTAACGACTATATAGTAATTTAACAAATATAATGCAATAAGATGTCTAAACACATAGTAGAAAAAATGAAACATGTGTTTTCTTACTTTACTACATATTAAACGTTTATTTACCTTTTTCAGGAAATATAATTAAATGGTGAAAGTAAAAAAAAATATATATATATATATATAAACAGGCTGGTGATGGGGCCATGACTTTATTTTTAAAAATTTAAAATTTATATATAGTAAACTATTTAAAAAAAAAGAAAAATAGTTAAATCAAATTGTATGTAACTCCACGACAGAGGCACAGCTGAAGCCTGGCATGGGTAAATTTTCTAAAGTAACGAAAAAATTAGAATTCAAATTGAAATAATAGTTACATACAGCTGCCTGCCATTCCTTTTTTTTTAAAGAGTGTGAATGCTTAAGCGGTTCGAACGATCAAAACTATTTACGGACCGAACCACTTTTTATTTATTATTCACTAATTGTATCTATAGTGGTGCGGTCTCAAAAAACAAAAAAAAAATACCTCTGGGATCAAATGTATACCGTTTCTGTGTACAAATAAAATTAGACCGCCGCGGTTTGTTATCTGTCCCAAAAATAGAATGGAACAAACCGCTAACAGATTTGTCCATCCTGACCGTAGTAACCATTCACACCCTAAATAGTTGTGTACTTTAGAAGTCCTCGCTGACCTGGTCTACCAGAAGTTAGAAGGGATTTGCTCCTTCTGCCAAAACCTAGATCATGAATACA